AAACGTCCTTCCATCTTATCTTGTTCCATCGAACTCAAGAACGGTACCGCCAGGAGGAACCAAGACTACAGCACACCTGGAAAAGAATCAGTTTGGTTTCAAGACAGAAGCTGGGACTGCAAAAGTTTGATTTTTTTTAGAGCATCATTGTCTCCAGATGTGGAAGAACCTTTGACCCAAAGTACCAGAATCTAGACCCTTCAATTTAGTGTTTAGGACACCTGGAGTTTGAGTTGCCATTGTTGTCGAGAGATTTCCCGATGCGGATCTGTGTGCCGTTGCGTCATTGTTGGAGAATGTTCCGATTGACAATTTTGACAGAAGACACTTTGTGGGTAGTGCGCAGGTCAAGTCGCCGTCGGGTTCTGAAGTCCTCTAGTATGTGTGCAAGATGCCTGGTCCCAGATGTTGTTGCGATTGTCATCAGTGGCGTATAGCAACTCAAACCCATACAGCGAACCATGGACTCGCCATCAAATCGAAGGTTCTCACCTGCAAAGAAATGTTTAAATGCAATTTGTAGCCAAATATAGTCAATGCCTCATTTTCACATGTTTAAAGTTAAATCAGTGGGTAAGGAACCTACAATTTTAGAAGCAGCTGGAACTTCAAGTTCTCATTTTACTTATACTTTGCTTATCCTGAAACGGCTACTTATAATTAGTACCAAGACTGAAACTTGTACTTTAGGACTGAAGATTAGATCCTCTCCCTGGTTTAATGCACCTGGGTCCAACAATGGCTCGTTAGATGACCTAAGAACATTGACATGCTGAAAAGGTTGGTACTACCACCAGGGACAATAAAAGTAATTTCTATCTCCAGCTTCAGTAAGTTATTTTAATAGTAACGACTGAAAAGCATATTAAATTTTAATATATTCATATATAAAATATCATTTAGAAGTGTATTAGATGACATTTTTTGCTGTGATTTTTCCATTTTTTTCCTCATCCTTCTGATGTACCTCTAGCGCCCCCTGGCGGCTCCCACTTTGAAAAACACTGAGCTATCCCACCTTACTGACAACTTTGATCTGCCAATAAACCAGCTTTTATCTAGTGTGTTTGAAATGTGATGTACTTTGTACAGCTTGGAGGCAGAAACTTTCACAGGACAAAATGCTCAGACAACTCAAAGCAAACATGGAGTAAACGGTATTAGAGTAACTTCTGCAGGTGTGTTCACTTTTCTTTCTTGCCTGATGAAAGCTCATTTCACAGTTCCCTGCTCATTTCTCACTGCAAGAACTCTCTCAGGTTGACGTTCATATTGAGAGAACTTTACATGTTTTCAGGTGCATTGTTGGGTTTTCTAGCTTCCTTCCACCACCCAGTAGCTGTTATGTAAACTGGTCACTCTGGTCATGGCCAGCAGCTGTGTTGCCGTGTGATTAAGTGGCAACCTGTCAAAGGCGTTTGCTGCTTTTTGCATATTTACTCTTGAAAATCTGTCCCAGTCTTCCTCCTGTTCAGCAGCAAATAGTTTTCACAAGGTAAGAAGACTAGCATTCATATACTTTATAAATAAGTGTGATTAGGAAGATATCAAATGTCACATTATGGAGAAGGTAGTGTCTAACCACTGGTGAAAATGGAATCAAAGCTGCACCATGTTAATATTATTATTGTTATTAAGTCATTGATAGGGACAGACACACATCGACCTAGATAAACTGAACAAAGCTGAAGTCCCATGTTTGTGTCATAGTGCAATAGCAACAGCCAATTTTCAGCTCTAAATGGGCTTTTAAACAGCACCTCTAAAAAACTGAAGTGATAATCATTTAAAACAGCACAACATAATGTTGACAACATCTACAAACAAACAGTGAAACATAAAAACATCAAAAATGGATACAGTTGACATAACCAGAGTTTTGTTTGCTTTTTGAACGTGCTAAAACTGGTAACAGACTTTAAATCAACAGGAAGTGAGTTCCAAACCGCAGATCTTCTCACGGACAGGAGAGCACTTTGACTAGAAGTGGTTCTTCGAAAGGATCCTTACAGTTTCCATCTGAAGCTGCTCTAGATCTTGGATCACTTATCATGTGTACAAAGTATATTTAGTTAGTATGGATACAATTTTATTTGTATTATTTTTCTCTGTTTTGTGATTTTGCATTGTGTGATGTTTTGTTGTTTTCTGAACAGGTTGTTGTTGAAAATGAGAACATTTCCTTTTCACTCTGTGCCAAATTCTAAACAAGTTGGTTTTGGCTGTTTTACAATTTTCTGGAAGTTGATTCCATATTTTTTATATATATGATGTGCCTCCAGCTCGCTCCCCCCCTGCTCCAGGGGGGCCGCCAGTCAAAATTATTTTTTTGATATCTAGAATGTAATTATGGATGACAAAAAACAACTTTATTTACATTGAGTTCAACATTTCCACAACTTAACCCTTTTTGCATCACCAAAAGCAGATACTTTATCATTATCAGCATGAAGTTCTTGCATAAAACAACCAAATGAACCATAATTCAGAAGATCTACTGTCCATGGTGTCAGAAAACCATGAAGAACACACATGACTCATGTGTGTTTACTTAAAGTTTTACTTTCTAATTTACCGGGTTAGTTTTCATACTGCTTTACATACAGAGGAAGGAGAATCAGAATAGCAAATCTCCCTAACAAACTTAGACTGTTGCAGCTAATATATAGCCTTAGGTCACTCTTTGAAAACCACTGATAATACTAAAAACTGAGCAGAAGTGAATTATTATTAATTGCTTTAAGGTGTATTGGGTGTAGCAAGACTCAAGACTTCACACTATGCAAGTTTCTTTCATCTTATTATAATGTTATAAACTTTAATATTGCTGTATATCTTATAACTTCTTTATTGGCACCTTTAGATGACATCTATGTTTTCTGTGAAAGTCATGACAATTATGAAAACATTATTATTATGATATCGCACCTTAAAGGTCAGTTTCTGTTTTAAGCAACCGTCTCTAAAATTGAAAACAAAAGTAGCCATCCAATTTGCTTTTTATGTGTTTTCATAACTTATGAACAAAAAGAAAGACAGAAATATTCTATTTGTCTTTGCAGGCCGGTGTTCTGGTTATCTCTGTGTGCATCAGCACCAGTACGTCTCATTTGACACTCCAAAAACCTGGAACGAGGCACAGAGCTAAGAGAGACATGCATTGACCTGGCCACCATGGAAGACATGAAGAAGATGGACATGGATCTGAAAGCTGCTGGAGACGACGGCAGTGATGCAGGGTGGTTTGGGCTGCAGAGAGGCAGCATGAGAACATGGCCCTGGTCTCTTGGAGACAAAGATTTCTACAAGGAGAGAGAAGACATTTATCTCCAGTTTGACTCAGAGAGTGGGTATAACTGTGGCGTTCACAACAATATGTGTGGTTGCACAGATTACAGGTATTCGGTCTGTTTTGACAGTAGGTGGCGTTTTCCATCAATCAACGAGAGGAGTATCTGTCAGGATGTTCCCCCCACAGCGTGACATGTTCCAATTCATATGAATTTTGAAATTACGGTTCGTGCCAGCTTAGGTCAAGATGCTTTACTCCTATCTGGTTTTTCAGGCAGCAGCAGAACACTTCACTGCACTTCTTTCCTAAGAACTCCTTCAAAGAAGCCATTTTTGATCAAATTATACAAATAAAAGTTCCAATAAGTGTTAAGAAGTTTTTCTCCTGATACCAAATGTGATGAAACCTTTGGGTCTTTCTAATATTGCAATTACGTCTCTATCAATTAGAATAATCACATTTTCATAAGCTGATAGTCATAATCATCATAACCCAAAATAGCAGAATTAAGTTTCTGATTTAATTATATACACAGGTAGCCAAAAAAAGTTGCTTAAAATTTTTTAAAAGGAGGTATAAATGTCAAAACTAACTTAATTTACTATTAACCAAAATGTTTGCTGAATATTATTTTCATTAGAGCTTAATTTGCTCAGAAAGGGAAGGTGATTTATAGCAGATATTTTATAAAAAATAAACATTGAACTGATCTCTTAGCTGGTGAGATTTTGTTTTGCCTGGAGTCATTCCTCAAAGCTGGTTTAAACTGTAAAACTTGACTTCTTAGGAACAAACCATGGAGTGGATCAGTACATCCTCAGTCCAGAGTGAAACAGTTGGACCGCTGCTCGGGATTTCTGCAGGAAAAACTACACAGACCTGGTCAGCTTGAGGAGTGATACAGAATACCAGACAGTCCTGGAGGAAGCTAGTGGAGAGGTTGTGCATGTTGGGGTATTCAGGGTCCAGCAACAAAAAACTCTTCTTTCAGGTGCACAAAAAATTCTGCAGAGTTGAATCAACACTATGCCAAGTCTATTTGGCATAGTTACATGCCAAATAGTTACATTAAAAGTCTGTTAAAAGTGCCAAATTTACATTAAAGTGTGATTATATACAAACCAGCAGAACGTTATATATATCAGCATTTTATTCATTAAAAATGTGGACGAATAATAATGACTTTCAAGGCAGTATTTATTATTATTATTTATTGCTTCCTTCCTGTTTACATGCCAGTTATTGGGATCTTACAGCCACAACAAGATTATGTATTTAGGCCAAGAGGTTACCGTCATGCTTACTGTGAGGCAGCAAATATGCAAATTGCCACGTCAACGTTTCCTCAGTGTTCCTCCATTTATGCAAAGAAAATAAAGGAGGAACATTGCATTTCCTGGCCTCAGGTCAAGAGGTGAAGCACTGCATAAATAAACTAAAACAAACTGAGAAAACTGAGATAACGCTGAATGAATAAGAATGAATTTATGTAGAGCTTATAGGCAATCACAACATTTATTGATTAAACTGTTTCAGAAACAATTCTATCAAATTCTAAGGAAAATCAGATATTGAGAAAAAAAAAAGGTTGTATCTTTTGAGACATGTAACTATCAGGTTTCAACATTGCAATCAAAAAACATATGCAGTTTGTTTCCTATACATTAGATTGGCTTGAAAACCTGAGACTCATTTGACCTATATATAATAAAAACTGTTGCAATTTTATCTGCTTTGTTTTTGTCTTGTAACCTACAGCTCCTATTCTTCCACATATTTTAAATCAAGAGGGTTTTTAAGGAGTTTCCTTGTCAAAAACGTTCCCGTCAGACTGCGTCCTCCATCGCAGCTGCACGCCCTCGGCGCCGGTCTTCCTCACTCTCAGTTTCATCTGACAGGGAGACAGAGTGACGTTCACCATTCAAGCCTGTGTGCATGCAGTGTTTTGTATTGCACACTGAGTGCAACTGTTTCAACTCTTACCTGCTCCAGGATCCCATCTTGCACTGCTGGATCATTTATATCTAATGCTGAGTTCTGCATGTTGATTCTCACTATGAAGTGCATATGTTTGTTTTCTGCAAGCATATATGTGCATTCATTTAAATCAGAACACTAGCATGTTTTTTAAATTTAGAATTGTTCCATTATTGTAATAAACACAACATATGAAGCTACAAATTGAAATGATTTGGGAACCTGGGAGGCAGGAACAGAGGAAGGGGTGCGTCTCGGTGCATTTCAGTGCTCCCCATCTGCCGGATTCGTTCTTCAGCAACGCCCCACAGGTGTCAGAAGAGGTGCTCCACACCGACGTCCCTGGAAGCCAGTTTCTCAAGGACGAGTCGGCCTGGTCCGACCACACCCAGGAGTCCCTGAAGAGACCAACCCACACAGAGGCATTGACGGCTAAACTCTGGATGATCTCCAGCTCGGCGTCGTTCCTCACGCTGACCAGGCCCGTGTAGCTGGACTGGCAGTATTCCAGAGCGTCAGTCCAGCCCATCACTTCATCAACCATAACATACTGGTCCGGACCTTCTTTTGTGTCTAAAAACAAGAAATAAAAGTATTTAAGCCCCAAATATAGAAATAGGGTCAACATGAATTAAAAGGATTTAGCAAAAACACTTTTAAGAATGAAAATGTATCTTTCCACTCTGATAAAAAGTATGGAAAAGATATATGGAAGAAAATGTTATTACAGCTTAATAATCTCACAGTGAAAGTTTTTTATTATCCTAATCTTAGGTGTTATTAATGGCCTGCATTATAAAATCTCGAACTAAAATTTGACTGCAATTGGGTCTTTTTGTAGGATAATGACACAAAACATTACAGAATAAAAACCAGGCAAATTGACTTAATCTCACAGCTCAGATGCTCAGAGCCACATCTTATTGAAAACACAGAATCTTGTAGAGAATCAGAGAAGAGAACATGAAGAACCAAGGATTCTGAGTTGGTCCAAATAGTGCATGCTTCAACCTTCTCAAATGTTATGGAAAACATTTAGGTGACGCCCTATTGGAAAATGGTCATAATTAGCATTTTCTTCACATCATTACATCATGCAGGATCCACAAAAATAAATTTTTACATTAATTTTTTTTTTCTTTTGTACCTTTTTTAGATTTGTATCTGCCCAAAAAAATCATGCAATATTTTATGGAAATAAACAAAGTAACAGAAACTGTAGAAAAAGTATTTTAAAATAACTTTGAATCCAAAGCATTAATAAACAAAGTAAGGACAGGTGTATGATTTCCTCATTTATTTGAGGTAGAAGATTTTTCCCAGTCTATGAAAAGTAACATGAACTGAATGTGGGTCACTCATTCTTCTAAACTGTTTCCTAGTTAATTCAATTTATTTAGAAATCTACTTTTGAGAAAATATCACATTTAAGTGTGTCTAACAGTCTTACCATCAAAGCAGAGGAATGGGAGCTTTAGATGACAAGCACGTGTGTAGAATAATTTCTGCTCGTAATACCCACAATGGTAATTTGGAGAAGTACCCCAATTATAAAAATTTTTCTCTCCTTCCTTGTAGAAATCTCTGGCAGTCAGAGACCAGTGCCAGATCCTCGTTTTTCCTTGGAAAAGCCCAAACCATACATTGTCTCCTTCACTCTCAATGAGCTTCACGACTTCATTCATCTCCTCCAGATAGTAGATGGTGGCCAGATCCAGACAGTTTTTCCTGCAGTAGATTTGTGCATCGTTCCAAGTTTTTGGAGTGGAGAACAAGACGAAGCGGTACTGAGAGGCACCCAGACACAGAAAGCACAGGCCTGTGGCACAAAATGGCATAAATATCTCATTTCAGTGCTGTCTCTTGAAATAAATGTTTCTGATAAGAAAAGTTTTGGTACACGCTGACCTGCAAAGAGAGTTAGGGACATGAACTTTTCCATGGCAGCTATGAGAGTCTGCAAATGGGGGAAAAAAAGATTATTTCTGTATTTGGACACTAAAAAACACTTTTCACATGAGAGTCAGTAAAGAGTATTACTATCATTGAAGACAGAAAAACAAAAGGAGGAGTAAATTTTAGCCAAAACATTTCAAAAAGTTTCTAGAAAAAAATCTTGGAATTTTCTGAATTTGGAAAGTTGAACATTTGCTATGAAATAACTCATAAATTTTCAAATTAATCTCAGAATTTTTCAAGAAAAAAAAACTTGGTAACTTCTGAGTTTGAAAAGTTGAAAAGGTTCAACTTTTGACACGCAGAAAATTTCCAAAAGTCATTAAAACTCAGAATTTCCTTGTATTTTCTGAAATGTTTCTGAGATTAATCTCAAAATTGTTTTCCAGCAAGTTTTCAACTTTTCAAACTCAGAAATGTTCTTAGTTTTCAAAGAACAATTCTTAAGATTAAAGTTGTTGTTTTTTCTTGCCAATTTTTGACCTTTCAAACTCAGAAATTTCCTTGTTCTTTCTAGAAAACTCTTTTTTCTATCTACAACGACACTAAAACACTGTCGTATCTGTCTATGGGATTTTTAAAACATTTCTATAAATACACAGTAAAGACTTTTTAAACAAACATTTGCATTTGTATACATTGTTGTTGCAGAGATAATAAATGAGTCTTACCATGTATCTGGTGGAGTTTCAGTTGTTTCAGTGCTTTCAGCTCAAAGCTGGACAGAGGTGGATCTGTGCAGCTTTAAAGCTGATATCTTGGACCAAACAGGTGATTAAGATTATGATGTTTGCGCTACGTGGAGTCATATTTTACCATTTGTTCTCCTGAATATGGAAAATACATGAAAATCCAGCAGTAAGACAGATGCAAACTTTGCTAATCCCTTTGAAAGGTGAACTAAAGACATAACCTCAATCATGACAGAGTGGATTTCATACTTATTTAGGTGGAGACAATTCATCTAACTGATTTAATGAACTTTAATTGTACACATTACTTTCATTAAAAAACTGTTTTGATTTATTTTGGGCCAATTTACATCAAGACACGACCACATTCAGACTTGTAACAATAATTGTCAAGAGTATTTGACTCTTTCAAATACTTTTTTACTCACAATTCTGCCCTTTTTAAATCAAAATTCTAACAATTTAAGAACAGTTTGAATTTTGAGATTAAAGTTTGATTTTTGCTCTTTTTTTCCCTTAATCAATACTGTATACCTGAGTATTTGCATACAATAAATACCTATATGAGAGACAGATGAATAATTATTCTATATCAGTATTTACATTTTATTATAAAATATCTGAAAGTAATATAATATGATTGTCTTTCTGATTATCACTGCTGAAGGATTTTGTTTATGAATGAACTTTCCAGAGGCCCGTGGATCTGATTATTTTTCCAAAATACAAAGGGGTGATTTAGTTGTGTATACTCGATAATACTGAGTTTTTACTCCTCTGTCGCGGCGCCACACACCCCTCCTTTCAGGTGGAAATGGTACATTCCACATGACAGCTAGCCCAGAGCTAGCATAGATACCCGAGCATCACACTGTCAGAGAGAAGAACTGCGGTGTTTGCGTGGAAACTGGTTGCTATATTAGTGTCATTTCTGTTTTATTTAAAAGTGTAAACAATCACTATGTCCACCGTAAAGAAAGGAGACTTGTCTCCAAACGAAAAGGAGTTGTTTAAAGTTATTTCTGCAGGTAAGCCTCCTCGGCTAACGCTAATCCTGGCTGGTTAGCTTGTATGATACAAGCTGCACGCCTACAAATTTAGACCCATTTAGACCATTATAACCAGCTATCTAGAAGCTGGCAGCACTTTATTTTAAATAAAAAGTTGTAAATTTGTTGTTTCTATCTTTACCTTTATATTGATTCGAACATGAAAGCTAGAAATAAGTTTGAACATGCCAGTTGAATTTAGATGTGCTTGTGAATTTGTTTCGTATATTCTGGTAAAACTTCAATGTGAAAATGTATGAAAGTGATAAAAAGACAAGCTCTCCTTCTGTTTAGGGAACGTCCAGGAAGCCTCCAGGCTGCTGGGCTGTAAGGATGTTCGAGTTAACTGTCTGGATGAGGTAGAAAACACAGCGACACTGATGATTTTATCCTGACATGATTCACTTATGTTTCTCTTGTAACCAGCTTATTAAAAAGATTTTATGTTTTACAGTTGCATCTCTTCTTTTTACCTAAGTGAAATTGCAAAACAATTGCATGTACTGTTATATTAATACAATATAGATACAATATAGAGCATTAGCTGTTGCTTTTTTGTATGTCAACTTTGATGCCTTCAAGGTCTGTAGTTTTTTTTGTGTGTGTTTTGTTCGTGAGAAGCTTTTGGATTTTATATGAGGAGTTGAAAGCGATCTTCCCTCTCAATAACTGAGTGTTATGTGAATTACTTTTGTTTACCTTAAAGCAGGTAAGGTCCTAACCCTGACAAGGGCCGGCATCCTGCATGTTAAAGCTTGAAGCTTTTTGAGGCTCTCCCTCCACTTGTCTGATCATGTATCCTATATATTTTGAATTTATTGCCCTGACTATATATGCTTTAATACTGCTGTTAAAGCCAGTTTGCTCTGTCAGCTGTAATATTTCTACTCCACAGTCGATGTAGTTTTAGGTAGAGTGTGATGGTTATGTCTATGTTTTGTCTCACCTGCAGTATGGAATGACGCCCCTCATGCACGCTGCCTACAAAGGGAAAGCAGACATCTGCAAGTTGCTCCTCCAACACGGAGCTGATGTAAACTGCAACCAGCATGAACATGGATACACGGCGCTCATGTTTGCTGGCCTGTCAGGTAAGTGTCAGTGTTCGTCGTGTGGTTTGGCAGGTCCAAACGGCAACAAACAAATACATCTGAATATACGATGTATTAGAAGTTTTTCCTTTATGTCTGTAGGAAAGACTGACATCACTTGGATGATGCTGGATGCCGGGGCGGAAACAGATGTGACCAACTCTGTTGGACGGACCGCCGCTCAGATGGCAGCTTTTGTTGGTTTGTGACCATAATTTATTCTCATTGCATTTTTCTAAAATCTACAAAACCTTAATCATAAGAAATATATTTTTTTCCTGGTTTGAATAGAATATAAATGTCCTTTGTTATCCCCAAAGTGGGGAAATTCCAGTGCAACAGCAGCAAAGTGACAGGCAATCAAAGCCAGAACATAAAATATGTAATAAAGAATAAAATACTTCAAATTAAGGGGAAAATGTCAACATAAATATTGTGCTGTGATTAAAAGTAGCTACTCCAGTCCAGCTTAATGTACAACTGAGTGGGGTAATTTTTTTTAAAAATTACAACATATGTCAACGAGCATAAAATGAGACTATTTACATTAAGTAAGTAACTTCTGTGTGTGCTTGAAATAAGAAAATCTCACTAAGACAAAATAAGTTCTAGACTTGAGGTTTTCTATGTGAATGTTGATATTCCAGTATCTATCATGTACTCATAAGTAATATTTTCTTAATATCAAGCTTTAATATCTTCCTGAGATAATTAAGTAGTAAAACACTTAAAATAAGAAAAATAGTCTAAGATAAAAACCTTTCTGTGAGAAGAAGTATCTTGTCAGAAAGAAAACAGGCATAAATCTCCTTAATTTAAGATATTTAATCTTACGTAGATTTCAGTTTTTGCAGTGTAGCAATAAAAGCTGTTTTAAAATCGACATTCAGTTTTAACTCCCCTCTACTTTTCATCCTTAGGTCAGCACGACTGCGTCACTGTAATCAACAACTACTTTTCTCGAGCCAGGCTGGATTACTACACAAAGCCGCAGGGTTTGGAGAAGGAACCAAAGCTGCCGCCCAAACTGTCCGGACCCCTTCATAAGATCATCATGAGCACCAACCTGAACACGGTCAAAGTAGGACTTCACTGAACGGAGCACGTTCAAAGACCCAGATCATCTTCCAGCAGCCTGAATGAACCTTAATATGCTTTCTGTTTTTATGTTAGGCGTCTGAAACACAGTAGATATCATTTCCACCGTTTTTATTCAGTTTAATCATTAGTGTTGGTATCAAAAAGTTGTAATTAAACGTGGCATCAAAGTGTTAATTATTCCTAATAGGAAGAGAAGGGCAGCTCTACCGGTTTAGCTAACACAAATAAAAATCAAAGTTACCATAGAATATTGCATCCATCACATTATTTCTTACATAATTTACTGACTTTGTGTGGATATAAAAGCTTTGTGACACTCAACAGCCTGTTCAGTGTCACAAAGTGTTAGTGTGTCAGGTGCACCTTCTGCAAGAAGCCAACAAAATACAAGATTTACGCTGCCAAATTTTAAAGAGTCTGCATTGCGTGGTAAACCTTTTTTTAGCTTACGATAATTATTTGTCGATATAATCTGGATTTTAGCTCCGAATTTTCAGGGAGCAGCTTAAATAGTTACATTTCTTGAGATTGGGCAGAAAATAATTTAACATTTCTATAAAGACTTTTATATATTTTCTAGATTCTCTTTTTAAGTGTTCATTCACTTTTTAGCATCTCCATCAAAATCTTGAGACATTTCCTAATTTGAAACACTTGAAATCAAATTAATTTATTTTCATATCAATGTCTGATACAATAAAAATTTTAACCTGGCAGCTTTCGGGTGAATTTTCACATTAATTTTTTCTCATTCCACGTCCTTTTCTCACTGCTTAAATTAAAGAATCCTCACCAGTAATGTGATCAGAAACAACTGGGATGGCTCACTCTGTGATTTTGCTCTGCTGTTTCCTAAAGCAGCGTCTAGAAAACCAAATCATCTCCTTTGTTGTTTGTTTTGTTTTCCAGTTGGTGATGCTGGTGAAGGAAAACCCGTTGCTCGCCGAGGTGGAGGCTCTGGACAAATGCAGAAGAGTGATGGAGCTGATCTGTGAGAAGTGCATCAAGCAGCAGGACATGAACGAGGTTCTGGCGATGAAGATGCACTACATCAGCTGTGTGCTGGGAAAGTGTGCCTCCTTCCTGAAAGACCGCGAGGACAAGCTGGACGGCCTCATAAAGAGGTGGGGACATAAGTGAGGGAATGGGTTTAATTACGAACAGAACCCTCCACATCCTCCTGGTAGAGATGTGTAAAAACCCCTAACATTAATTAATTTGTTATTAGCAATAAAATTTGGAGAATAGAACTTTGCTCTTTAATTTATCATGAAAACAATTGGTAATTCCTTCTCTTGTACCTGAGGTATATCACAAGATTGTATTTTTTTTTTGTCCTGTTTAAGTCGATAACACTTCAAGCGCTTTCTGCCTGTTTCTTTCTGCTGAACAACATATTTTGTCGTGTCATTCACTGCATTTTGGGCGCTTTCCCTTTCTTGTGTCCTCCAGTTTGCTAAAAGGTCGTGACAGCGACGGATTCCCAGTTTTTCAGGAGAAGTTCATCAGAGAATGCATCCGAAAGTTCCCGTACTGCGACGCCACGCTGCTGCAGCAGCTGGTGCGGAGCATCTCTCCTGTAGACATCGTAAGTTTGCAAACTAATTTAATTAGACTATTTCAATAATCGATTCATCACGATTAATCGTTTCGGCCCAAACATTTCGCTGCCTCCCAGAACCACAGGATCTGAGATCAATTCAGCGGCTCAGAAACTGGATTCAGAAATCTGTGTTTTCGATAGCGATATCTGATCAGGGTTTTTTTGCCCTCCAGGGTAACGACCCCACGGCGCTCTCGGTTCTGACTCAGGCCATCACAGGGCAGGTCGGTTTCATGGACGCAGAGTTCTGCACCACGTGTGGAGAAAAGGGAGCTGAGAAGAGATGCTCCATCTGCAAAATGGTGAGCGTTGAAACCACGGAAATAATTATCGTGTGAAGGATTTCACTGACAGTTTGCTCTGTTTTCAGGTCATCTACTGTGGACAAGCATGCCAGAAAATGCACTGGTTCACCCACAAGAAGGTTTGTAAGAAGCTGCAGGAGCAGCGAGAGAAGCAGGAAGCAGAAATGGCCAAACTGAGGACGGAGCAGAGCAAAGGTGAATCAAAACTGAACATTAGTTCACATATTAGGACAAAACTTCATTATCAGTTCTGCATCAACGTTCAGCCAATGTCAATAAAACACAATATTGTCTGTGTTTCCATTGTGGTTCTCAGATGCAACTTTACAGACCTCAGCTACAAAATAAGTCTTTTTTGTTTGAATCAATCCAAAGCTGTTGAAGTTTTTAATTGTACTTTTATACCCTGAAGTTTCTAGAGTCTGAAATAAATCTAGCAATTTTACTCAAGCAAGAGTAGAAATACTTCACAATAAAATTACCCAAGTAAAAGTAAAAAGTACAGCGTAGTAAAAATACTCCTAAACGTACTTTTTTTTTTTTCCACCAAAAGATAAATGTAATTGAGTAAATGTATATATTTACTCCCCAACTCTGAATGGCAGCTTCTAGAGCAGCTCTTTGGAGAACGGGACTTTTTAAGTTTTGATTTGTTTTAATGACTGTGAGGAATCTGTTTTGTTCTTTTAGATTTTACGTCAAATTAACATTTTTAAGCTAATTTGAATTGTAGCATTTTGTGGTGACGGCTGGCTGTAACCTGAAGCGACTCTTGTGTTTTCAGAGGAGATTAAATCCGTCCAGGATGCTGCAGACTCCATGCAGGGACTCTCTATGGAAACCAAAAGCGAAGAGACGCCTGCAGACGCTGCTGCTGCAGAAACATCAGACTCCACTTCCATCACAACTGCTGACAACTGAGGAGCATCCTGACATCCGGGGCACAGCAAGGAAACAGACACTTTCACTGGGAACCAGACAGACTGGTCCAGGAATATTTATTAACATCTGAGCCTGAACCACGTCTTTTTGCCCATTTCCTATTTATAAATGATAATGCTACATGTTCTGGTGTTTGTAGAAATGTGGACGAGCAAACGGAGGGCTTCGGGTTCACAGCGATGATGAAGATGCAACGTTAATCTGCCTTAAGAATCTGTAGCAAACAGAGGATGAAGTGGCTGTGCCGCCTGCCATTTGTCTGATTTATTTTTGTACCAACAGTCCCATTTTGTGTGTGTAAGGTGAGGCTGCTTAATGCTGACCAAAAATCTGAGGTATTTTTAGATGTGGATGATGTAAATGTGAGTTTGTCTTGGTGAACTATGGAAGAAAATGTTGGAGACAGAGCAAGAAAACTGTTTGTTAATAGAAAAATAAATACATTTCCATTGAAAAAATTTACTTCTTTTTCCTGATGAGACAACCCAAAAATAAAAAGTTTAATTCAATTCAGGATATTTATATTGTACTGATTCTCAACAAACATTTAATTTCTATTTAATAATAGTCAGTTTAGTCCACATATTTAGACCCCCCTCCCCCCCAAAAAAGTTAATTACATACATTTCACTCAAACTGTTGGTGAAAGTCAAACACAATTTATAATACCAAATAATACAGGAGTGAAAACTAAAGCTGTGCTTCTATAAACTTCCATGATTACGAAGTTTAAATGGTATTAAAAGTGTAAGTCAGTTCTAAAAAGACACATTTTTATTTTTTATTTCCCATTGGGTTAATAATAAAAAAAGTCCCTCAGACATAATTTTTTTGTATTTTTACTTAATGAGGGTTTTTTTCTCAGTAATAAAGCATGTTTTGATGCATTCATGTCAAAATTAAAAAGGGTTTTATTTCTTCCACTCTCTCCACTGATCTGAGTGAATTTTCTGTAAACATGTCTCACAAAACACATCTAAAGGAAATTATAAATATTAAAACAGCTTAAGATTTATATTTTTATCATTACATCTGTAGTTTTTAAAGATGACCACAGGGAGGCGCTGTTCTGCCAGGATTTAAATCTCCCCTGATTTCGGCTTAATTGTGAATGAACAAATTTTTTTATAATTATTTTCCTCCGAGACCTGATTACAGCCTCGCCTGTTACTCTTACATCAGTTTGCTGTTTGTTTTTTGCATCAAAACCAAAAACTGGTCATCTTCTAGATTTTTTATTTTTTTCAACCTGGCCATAATAAACAAACAGCAATTGTTTCAATGCAACAAAGTAAAAAACAACAAATTATTGTAAATCCAAGAAAAGGATCTCAAATGTTTGTCTTTGTTTTACATTAGTGGTCCAGAAGGTGATTTTAGTCTATGGGCTCTGAAACTTGCAGTTCTGTGGCCCTAAGTGCCTTTTTTGGATCCTATAAAGTGGCATCAACTAATGTTTCATGGTATTATGTCTATATCATGAAATAATAATCATAAAAAATGGAGATTTTAGAAATTTTTCAATTGTTTCATTCAATAATAGTGTTACATTTCCTCTACAAGGTAGCAAGGTACCTCTTATAATTTTAGATCCATTTTTCCTGTTATTAGATTGAAAACATGCTTTTTTTTTACATCATATTTCACAATGATGTTAACATCTCATAGACGAAAACATATCCATTCTCTGTTTTCCAAAACTATTTTTAGGGCAGGGAGATTATTTTAAAACCTAAAATTAGAGATAAATTGTTAAAAATAACTGACTTCTTACAGTAGATATATATAATAAATGATGGCTTGTCTTTTATGCATTTATTTCACAGCTTTAAATAAATTTTATTTAGCTCGTCTGAGGCAAAAATAGCGATTTTGACTGTACAGATTGGAGACCCCTGGTCCACTCACAGGAACAATTCAAAACAAAAAATCCTTTTATTTAAGCCAACTATAATGAATGGGTGTGTCCAAGTCTGTCTTTGAGTCAAAAGGCAGTTAATATTTTTGGCCCTTCTTACAGTAATACTAAAACAAAAGTATAAAAAATGAGGAAGGAAAGAAAAGTACTATTGTATGAGGCCATTGCCTGTTGAGCGTGAACTGTAAAATCAGACACCCTCAAAATAAAATGATAATAAAACGATCCTCCAATGCACCACTGAGATTCACAAAGTTGAGAATGACAAAACAATCAGTAACAATCACATAAATACCACACAGGAAACAATAGGCTGCGTTCACACTGCAACAAGAAGTTTCAGATGTGACCAGAATCTGATCTGAATGTCATTTATACTCGACAAACGTCACTATTCTGCATCCTGAGACGCACAAGAAAAAGCAACCATAGCGGACTGTGATGAGAATTAAGTTGTTAATGTACTGCAACATCAAAATCATAAGATATTGTTAGCATCCATGTTTACCTCTGCAAACACTGAGCACTTCTGCCTGTTTTTTATGGCGATTGGCAAAAACACGGACCAGCTCTTTATGTGTGACATTATTGCGCCCTCTACTGCGCATGTCCTGAATGGAGATCACAAAAAGCCTCATACATTTGGAAGTAACGCCAAAGAAAAAAACAATTGGTATTTTGTCACTTCAGGCTGAAGCTTTAGTCAGGAAATAACAGCAGTGAGTCAGACACAACCTGTCATCTGCTTTTGGGAACATTTCCAAACCACTGTGACCCTTTCCTCTTGGCTCTTTTCAAGGTGTTGAACACACCTTCTGCCTCCCACCCACTCCCCCTTTCTGCCTTGTCACACCTCTGATTACAGCATGAGGGTCCTTCCTGATAATAAACACGCTCCCACCGTTCTGCTTGTCAATGTCAAGTTAACCCGACCACCTTCCACTTCCTGTGAGGGTCAGGAGCTAAACGGGAGACACCTCTCACTTTTCTGTTACCTTTAGTAGAGGCTCTAAAGCTGGAAGGCAAATCATGTTTCTCTATTCCCAGGAGAAACTTTAGGGGGCATTAAAGAGTAAATATTCCTCTGGGAAGAGGTAGCCGTGCTGCCCTTTATTTTCTCTCGGAAGTGGATTGAATGGGTCTGTGGCGTCTGTTTGGGAAAGACATAAAAGAGACAGGAGATACTGACAGGCTGTGTGTGAAGATTAACAATAAAGTAAATTCTAAATGTCAGGAGCTAAACTTGTAAAAATGTATTTATAAGTGTTGGTGCATTATTTTCCAGATGATTTCATAAAACATAGACCGTGGTGGTTGGCTCTTGAGTATACTTAAACTTGGCATTAGGACCACCTTAGATTGAAATAAGGATGAAAAGAACGACATCCATTCATCGTTCGCGTCCACTTGTCCATTCAGGACTTGTTGATCAAATCGAACAAAAACAAAACATTTACAACAAACGGATTTGTTACACTGGCTGCCAAATAACTAACCTGAGGACACTTTTGGAAGGCAGTTTTAAAGTAACCTTACATTGACAAACTCACCCAGTTTTCCTCCAGCCCAGGATTTGAACCCCAAACCCCCCTTTTTTTTTTCTTTTTGCAAAAAGAAAAAAAATACCCAAACTTTTAATAAGTGCAGTATTATTGCACTTGTCTTGTCCTTTTTAGGGTTATTTTCCTATTCAATCACATCACTTACGTCAGTTTGGTGTTTTGTTTTTCTCAATAAAAAACACAAAATGGGTTCCTTCTAAATTCTGTCCTTTTTTAACTTGCTTGGCCATAAAATAAACATCCAACGTCTCAAAGGATCAAAGTAGGAGCAAAAAATTATTGCTAATAAAAATAAGTCTAAATATTTATTTTTAAATCTCCAGACTCTTTCGAACATGGCATCGATGATTAACCAAGCGTCACTATATAGTGGTGCTGTAAAACAGAAATCCAAGGGAAACTTCGTGATTTAAAAGAGCATAACATAAGTTTATATAAAGGTTGAGGTTTCGGTTTGTTTGTTTTTTGTTTGTTTTACATTGTGTTTGGGTTGGAAACTTTCAGTCAGATCCTGCAACCCTGACTTCAGGCCTTCAGGCTGCAAGTACCACCAACACTGTCGGTCCTTTGCTGTATTGACTGGTAAATATGGCTGAAATCCATCCATACATCCATCAACAAACAGAAAATACCCTGCAGGTAGAATTTCTTCTTTTCATCAGTGAAACAGCTTCTGTTCAAACATGGTTTTCCATTTTTGTTCATGTCTAGGTCAAGTGAGACCTTTTGATCTTCACTAAGTCGCTATTTTGAAGCATAATTGTTGCTGGAACTAAGACTTGGGAAGTGGCAGAGTACAACTCAATGGTTGTTATTGTTTTCTATTTTTGAACATTGTAATTAGCTGTATCCTTTCATCTCTTTTGTTAAAACTTTTCTTCCTGTGCATTTTAATTCTTCACCCTCACACACTTCACTGTAAATGTTTTTGTTCTTTAATGTTTTTGCTCCTTTCCGTAATTTTGCCCCTTTTTCTATCCTTCCTGCAATCTTATTATTCTTCTTTCTTTTATCCTCTTTTAACCAACGGTCCTCTTTCTCTTCAGCAGGATTTAAAATGATAAGATGTTCATAAAATATCTTATCTTATCTTATCTCATCTCATCTCATCTTATCTTATCTTATCTAAGTATTTTTTTAATTCAACCATTGTAAATTTCCTTTTGAAAGTCTTTCAGCAGCATCTGTCGTTTTCTCTACTCACTTTAAAGTTTAGTTATTCCAGTGTTGACCACTAGATGGCTCTACATTCAATAACCTGCTCCTTTAACCTAATCCAATAACATGAAACTCTCACAGGATGTCAAATTGACCAAATATTTGCATAGAGTCGTGCAGTGATTACTGTGTTTAGTTTATTCTGTAAATATCAAACAACTATTCCAGTAAAACAACAGTACTTTTAGTCAGAGCATATTTTAATTCATTCGTTTTTTGATCAGAGAAGTTGTGGAATTACGCTTCAGTCTTGGAATAACATTCACATAAAAAGCTATTAAAATACCATTCATTTTGAGGCCATAAGAAACATAAAGACCAAAAGTATTTGATTGTTCTTGGATTTTTCATGCCATCTTGAAAACAGCAGAAGGCATCAACAGCAAAAGTGTGTTTGTTTCAGTATCACAGCTGCAAATTTGAACAAAACCACTTCAAACAGAACAAAAACAAAACATTTCCAAGAAATAGATTTGTTATACCAGCTGCTAAAAAAAAGACAATATTAGGACACTTTTGGAAAGTTGTTTTGATCAATATTATTTTTTAATAAAAAAGGTTTATCTGTTTTCTCTTTTCATCAGGGATAACCCTCCCTTTACTTAGAGAGCTGTGCTGTAAGCAAAGCATTAATAACTTTTAGCATATCAGGGTTAAAATGACTGCGTTTAGTTATAAGCACAGCATCAAATCACACAAGCAGGAGTTTAATCTCATCCAGATCATTCGTCTTATTAGAATAACTATTAATGCATGTTTAATGACACTGAGTAAGTTGCATATAAAAGAAAAAAAAGACATTTTTCTTGATGTTGACTGGCTGTAACTCTAAAAGAAGAGAAGTGTTTAGACAGTTTCCACTGTGCACATTAATGCTTTTTTAAAGTATATTTGGTGTTTGAACTGCTAAAACAAGCAGTTAAAAGCATTTTTAAAGATGGGTCCCAAGATTTCAATGTGGAAATCAAGTCAAAGTTTTAATAGTCATCGAAACTAAGGAACTGAAACGACCTCTGGTATCTCTCTGCAGTCACGATAAGCACAGCTAAGTTACGTTCAAGGATCGGATAAAACGTAAGTAGGAAGGTACCAAATAATAAAAAGTTTTGTAAAATTGGAGTGCAAACATCAAGAATGAGATCCACTAAAACTGTGCTCATTAAAGCAGCAGAGTGATTTTTCATTTCTTCAAGGAAATAGAACAATAAATACAAATCAACTCAAAAAGAAGCAGCATAAGAAAACATGAAAGATTTTTAATGTATAGGCTTGCTAGACCATAAAGAGAAATTTAAAACCTGTCTTCTTGCAAATGTTTGTTTAACAAATGGATTGCTTTTGCAATGAAAGACTGTTTTGTCCAATTTTTTAAAAAGAAACGGGTAGCGATGCATTCTACCTGAGGGTAACAGTTCAAAGGCAGCAAAGGAGGATACTTTTGATCAGCTTCCATCCTCTGTGCTTTGTTTAGGGATTTCAATGCATAGATGTGCTTTAAACAGACAGAGAGAATGAATGGCAGGATTATACCTTCACCAAATATCATTTTCTGTGCTGCTCTTTAAACTGTTGAAGCTAGCCAAATTATGATAAAATGCGGTCTGATTTTTTCCCGATTTTATAGTCTGCAAGTGATATTTTCCAGTGTAGAAGTTACCTGAAAGACCCTAAAAACTCTCACAATTCAAAATAAATTTTGCATTATTTACATGACATCATGTACTTTGGCTTTTGCAATGGTGGATACAATTATGAACAGTTATAAGCAACAGTTAGTTTGGGCCTAAAATGTGCATATATATGTAAAATGTAGATGGATTTCTTAAAGTTTTGGAAAGGCTTAAAGTATGTTGAAACAAATAATGTTTTTTCTTGTGTCTTATTTTGTTGTTTTATAATCATGTTATTAAAATAAATAATTTTCATTTTGGTTGTTTAAACAGAAACATTTTCACAAAACTTAACATTTTAGTTGATCTGATGATGTGATTTTTATGTTTTGATCAGTTACTCAGTTCTAGAGTAGTTTTTTATTTTATTTTTATTTTTTTTTTACCCAAACTGTTTTACACTTATTTGAGTGATTTCTTGGATGGCTACTTTTTACTTTTACTTCAGTAAAAGTTGAAGTAGTACTACTCTTGAGTAAAACTTTCAGCTACTCTAGCAATCTCTGCCAGATACATTCCTATCAGAGACGCCTGAAAGAATAAACTGAATCAAGACTTGGTTCAAAAAAGTATGTTATTTTTTTATGTATTTACTAACAGATTTGTTTGTTTTTAAGTTGAACTATGCATGATTATTTGTGGAAAACAACAACAAGATTCCTCTTTTTCAGCCTACAGGGTGAATTTCAGGTTCTTGAGACTGAAATAAAACAAGTGGGCGGGGTTAGAGAGCAGCGGTGATGTATGGCGACCAATCAGATCCTCCAGAAACAGACATACCTGAGCAGCTGCCAGAGCCGGGTCGCATTTAAAACCTCTCTCCTCGCGCTCAGCAGCTCATCCAGCATCAGGACACTTATCTGCTTCTCTCAGCTTGTCATTTGTTTTAAAGGACAAGTAGCCATGCTCCTCCACGCCCACGCGTCGTGTCGCTCCCTCCTCCTGCTCTGTGTCCTCCTGAGGAGCTGCCAGGCCGTGGAAAATGACGCCACGGAGCGGGTGGTTTCGCACGTGAGCCCCGCTCCGGCCGCGGAGCTGCAGAGCAACGCGTCCCTGAACAGCGCGCGCACCGGAGGGCGAGGACAGGGCGGCGGTGCGGCTGCGCAGGAGCGAGGAGGTGAGTGGACAGGAAGGATGCTCTGCTCTTTTACTGCTTTACTCCTAATAAAGCCTGATTTATATGCACTATTTCAATTAATCTAAGTACGGCGAATAACAATTCTGAGCTCTTACTTTTGAGTAAAAATATGTTGAAGTACTTCTACTCTCACTTGACTACACTTTTTGGCCACTTCCGAAATTCAATATTTCGGTAGAGGCCAAAAAACCCGAAATATCGAATTTAATCAAAGTTTGATACAAAGCATAACTCAATGGATGTACAAACAGTTGCAGCCATGTCATGTCACAATATTTGTAGACTTTTCCATCTGAAACAATAATAAGATGAAATCTTTCTTTCAAAAATGTGAAAAACTTAAATGGAAGAAATCAAAAAAATTAACAATAATAATAATCAAACAAAACAAAACGAGGCCAAAGCTTCTTAAATCATTTCCATGATTGTCTCATTTGTTTTAATACAATCATTTACAAACCAAACAACTATTTTGTTCATTTGGATTTTGTTATTAACATGAGTGAATTAGTTAACCTTATTGGTTATTCGATGTGACAAATTTTATAATTAGGAATGAAAAAGTTGCAAAGACAACCAACATAAACAATTATTTTTTCAGTAACTTTTTTCAAAAACTCATTGATTTTTATATCAGATTACATAAAAAATCGAAATATTTGCTGCATTTCTGACTGATTTATTTAAATCCTTAGGAAGAAGCAATGTTTTGTTTGACTAAAAGGTCAAAATTAAGCCTAAAAAATAAGCACTACTGAGTAACACAGCAGATATCTGTGCTACTCAGTACTCAATGAGCATGTTCCAATAGACGTCTGAATATTTAAATGTATCTCAATCACAAGAGCAGCAACATTAAGGTAAACATAAAGCATAACAAACAAGAACAAAAAATAAGAATATTGTTTTGAAAACTACAGATTTTAGTTTTCTATTTTTACATTGTATAAACGGAATCATAAAAACACCAATGTCAGTGTATTAGTGTAGTAGAGATGGCTGCAGTCCAGATGGATGAGGTTTTCTCCCTGCGCCATTATTGCCCTGCGGCTCTCCTGGTATGAGACCCTGATGGATGGGGATGTTTGGGGGTGGAGGGAATGTAAGTAAGAGACAGGAAGATGGAGCTCATCCTGGCTCCATTCATCCAACGCTGTCACAGAGGTGTATGGAGATGCATGAATGGAGCAGGAATTGGGTTACAACCATGGAGGGGAGAGCAGGGGGACAGTTTTCATAGCCTGCAGGAGTAAAAACTGCCTGCCTGCAAAGGTGCATTCCTCCTGCTAATCCACGAGTTTTCTCTTTTTGTCACCATGCTGTAATTATAATTTAAGGAAGAAATGTCGAGATCCTATTGTCTTGCATCCTTGTCTTCATGTTTCTTGCCAGAAGCTTCAAATGGATTCACAGCCAATGTAATGGGAGAAAACTGGAGTCAGAAATCCTGAAGGGGGAATGCTTGAATTGTTTAAAAATATCTCGTATAAACACGGTCCTATCTGTTCGCCCACAGATCGGAGTCAGATTGGCTGCAGAGAGTTGAGGTCTACAAAGTACATCTCAGATGGCCACTGCACCAGCGTCAACCCCATCAAGGAGCTGGTGTGTGCAGGCGAGTGTCTCCCAGCTCAGATGCTGGAGAACTGGATCGGAGCGTCCCGCAGCAGGAAGTTCTGGGCCCGCCGGAGCAGCAGCCATGACTGGCGCTGCGTCAACGACAAAACCCGCACCCAGCGCATCCAGCTGCAGTGCCAGGACGGCACCACGAGAACGTACAAGATCACCGTAGTGACCTCCTGCAAGTGCAAGAGGTTCTCGAGGCAACACAACGAGTCCGGCGGCAAGTTCGAGGACCAATCCGTGCTGCAGCCGTCGGTCCTCCACAGACACAAATCCAAGAGCAAGAAGAGGTTGGGCAAGACCCGGCTGAGAGAGAACTGGCATGAGACCGAATCCTAAACATCTTCAGATAATCCTCGGGAGCTTTCTCCTTTTGACCTTTTGAAAGTTGTGGATTATCTTTCTGTGACTTTCATCTGACTCATGCAAAGTCAGGTAGCTAATTTGGAGACTTCAAAGTGGATTCCCAGAGATTTTTGATTTGAAAAATGTGAACAAAAGTGGATTGTACAGTCTGGAGAGTTCCATGTACTAGAACACATTATCCCATATGAGCTGTGCATTTTCTATGGAGAAAACACTAGTGGGAAAACACCCAAACATCTTTAAAACATTAACTGTAAATAGCTGTACATATATGAAATCCCTACTCACCTTTTGAAATATGGCTGTGTGTATAAGATTTTACTCTGTAAGAAATATGATTTTTGATGTAATATATTTTTTGTCACAATATATTTGGTGAATTCATTTGTTTAGCATCTGCAAAAACTTCACTCTTGTCTTTACTTTGTGCAAAATAAATCCAACAATTGATCACATGTTTCATATTATTAAAAGCTCTAAAGCTTTATGTAGACATGAGACCTTACACCCTAACGCATTTACAAACTGTTAGATGAAATCAATTTAATCAAGATTTAAATCGACGACAGTTTGTACAATTATTGTCTTAAAAAAGCTGCCCCTCCTTCAGATCCCTGGTTTTAGCTATCAGGACAAAATGTTTGATGGATACCAGGTTGACAAAAGCACTGTATGCCAATGCCATTCATTTGGAAAGACATCAGCAATGGGTCTAGTGAAGCAACTCTGGTTGTCCATCAATCTGAAAAGGTCATAATGTTCAAACAACTTAAAATTCATCCTTCGACAATGAGTTTTATTGTCGAAGGAAGACACATCCTTCGATTGCTTTGCAAGTGTCTTCATTGCAAAGTGGCAGAGTATACACTGTAAAAAGTCTTACTCACGATTAGTTGACATAAGGTATTTCTATAAGTTAGTTCCAATTAACATAATGAGTTATGAAATGTCAACTTAATTTCATGAGTTATTTTCATTTCAACTCGAGGATGTGAGTCAGTTCAGTGAAACCTAAAATTCAAACGTGTGAACATAACTTGACAATCTGAGTTTTAAATGTTAACCGGATCTTATAAAAACTGATCACCACAGGCAATATTAATGCGAGATACAAATAGTGCCGGGAATTCGCTCTTTATCTGATAAGGGACTAAATATGAGGTGAAATTTAGTCAGAAGTTCTAAAGTTTTCCATCCCAGTTAGAATCGCATATTAAATGAAGAAGAGGAACACCAGCTGACCACATTAAGGACGTCGAAAACACCTCGCGGATGAATACCATTTTTTCCGAGACCTCGGTCCTAAAGGCGTTCAAGTTCGGCGGGACATTTTTTCCAAATGCGAAGCGAGCTGGAGAGATAAAAATGTAAGGTAAGCTGCATTTTGTCGTTTTTTTGATAATGCCATCCATTTTTCAAATATGTTAAGAGCTAAAAGTTTGTGTTACATATTTAAACACAGGACATAAAACAACAGCTTGCTAATTGAGGGCGGCAGTTAGTTAATGCAGTTGAGCCTAGCTAAACGCAGTATGCTACTCGCTTCTAGAACTTTTTTAAGGGAAATACAAGCGGCTTCCACGATTTTTGTTTTGTACACTTCCTCAGAAATGCATATGTGGCGCTTGGTCAAAGTTCTGCATCGACGTGCTAACTGCAGACGAGTTAGCGGCTTCGGGAAAGGCTGTGCCAGTAATTAGTCTGTTTCTTGTCAGTAATTAGTCGTATCCTTTCTTTCGTGTGTTCTGCGCATGTGTGTCCCTTTCTGGTTGCCGGTGAAAAATGCAAACTATCTCCAGCAGCTATTACTGATTAAACTGTATTCTGAATTTTACAGTAATTATTTATCAAGCGTTAGCTCAGGCTGGGCGCGTGCCCAAGACTATCACATATCAAGGAGCTTTGGTGGCTTCCAAATAGTCAGGACCCCACTGTAGGTCCTGAAACATGGAGGAGGGGTTCTGAAAAATCTTTTTTCGATTTGATTACTGTTTAAAAATGACTATTTGATTTAGTTGTTAGTAAAGTGTGTCACCTTACAATGAATTAAACTAGCAAAATTAATTTTGTTGTCCTTCACTTGACCCAATATCAAGGTATATCATTTACAATAAATTGGGGACAGTCTGTGTTACTGTTATTGTGCAGGTCAAATTCTGAAAACTTTGGAACCTCTACTTTGGACAATGAAGCTGATGAAGATAACATTTTAGTCAAGTTATTTTAATTAAGTGGCAAAACTGGAATTTGTATGTATGAATACTTTATATTTTTAAATACCATAATCTGAAATGTATGGGGTTTTTTTGTTTAGTTTTTTGTGCAGGTGTCTGCGAGACCCAGGGTCAGAAAAGGGATGGCACTCATGGTTTCACAGTTTGAAATTTAAAATGGGAAACTACAGGCAAAAATTAAGTTCAGCACGATACCCTGAAGTGGTCTCAAACAAAAGAAAATCTGGAATTTCAAAAGGGGAAACTGTCAAAAAGTCAAAGAAGGGAGAGGTGAACTTCTGTCCTGATCCATCTGAAGGACACAGTCCTGAAAACATGGAGGTGAAGCGCAAGATAATGGAGGCTGAAATGCAGAAGAAAGACCCAAATCATCAGCTGCTTGAGGATTTGATGGTTGCTACATTTTCTCAGCGTAGGAAAGACATTGTAGGAGATCAACCACACATCACAGAGATCATCTCCTGATGGCCTGCTCTGTTCCATGAGAGACAGGTAATCGCATAACTGAATTCGTTCCACCAAGACATTTAGTGATTTAATACTGAGTTAACTGTCCTATTGAGACAAAGTTTTATATTCTATGTATTCTATTCCTCAGATTAGGGCAGAATTTACAAGAATTGTCACCACAGACCTTCTGAAATCTTTTCTTGACTGACTTGATGGCCTGGTTTTGAGACTGCTGGAGGTCTACAAAGCAGCAACCAAATCTGGAAAGAAGCAGCCACTCAAAGACATTTTGGACTGCCTTGCAAAAGATGTGAGCAGGACTGAAGATGGCTAGAAAACAAGGCATAATTTGTTAATTTTGTTAAAATATATTAATTTTACTGCATGTCTCATCTCTTGCAGGACACAAATGAAAGGAGAAGGGCTGCTGCTCTGCTTGGTTTGCCTCGCTACATATCTGGCGAAGATCCATCAACTGTCATCAGGATGTGTGATGTAAGACTAACAAAATTTCTTACAAAAACTGTTTACATGTTTACCTATTTCTCTTTCTTGCTATCATTTCTTTAAAATCTTTTTGTAGCATTTGTGTTTGCAAAAACATATTTTTAGTCCTTATTAAGAGACATCACTTCCTGTGTACTACAGCCATGCATAACATCAAATTCCGATGTAATTACTTTGTGTATCCTTATTAATTTTGCTAAAAGCCAGTTGATGGAAACATGCCTGATTTGCATTTTCTTTCATTTCTTTTGACATTTTAAGAATTTGATGATTAAAAAAATGCATTAAAATGGAAACACTGCTGGTGTCCTACATTTTTAGAATAATTTTAACTCTTCACAATGGTGGTTTTTAATCTGGTGAAGTTCTTAATTGGAGCCTTTTAAGTACATTTATTTATTGAGATTTCAATAAAATTCTGTTTTATTTGTCAAATCGATTTCTGTTTTTGTCAATTTTGGTCCTCCAATAAATGTCAACACCTCTGCTTGTCTTGGACAAATGTTTTCTTTTACACTTGATTTAAGGCTTGTCTCATATTTGATAGAGCAAGATAAAAATAAATGTATAATATTTGAAATGGAAGTGTATTTGGTGTAATTATTTTTAGGAAACTGGTGAACTTGGCATTATTAGTGGAGGAAGTGAACAATATTTGGAAATGTTAGTTTACTTAAATTGCAATTTTAAGTTCAATTGCTGCCTTAAACTCTTAAGTTAAATCAACTCAAAAAAGGAATTGGTATGAATATAGTTAGTCAGTTTAACTTTAAAATGAGAGTTGAAAGTATATATAATTGTTTGTTACTTTAACAAAATAAAACAAGTTTTCTGAATGGATAATGTATCTTTGCAATGTGTTTAAACTCAGAGTATGAAGTTCATACAACAAGTAGTCATTAGTTAGAAAAGTGGTATAATTTAATTATTTGAGTTCAAATAGAATATGATTTTAATTTCACTTGACAAGAGTACTCAATTTTTTGAGAATGAATAATGTTTTGTAGTTAGTCATTTCAACTTATGGTATCATATTTAAGCAACAAATTATAAGCAATTGGGCTACTTTTCTAGCTTGCCAACCTAAGTTGGAAAAATACATAATTTCAAGTTGTGCTAACTTGTGTTTTTAAGGCAGCAATTGTACTCAAGTTTTTAAGTTTAACCACCCTAATTATTTTTACAGTGTAGGTGTCTTTGTGTTTTGTTCAAAAATTAGGGAAAAATGGAGCAAGAAATTAATAGGCAAATTGGTGTATTTTGAAATTCTTCCTAAAGTTAATAGTTAAGAAACTCAAAAAGCTTAACATATGCCTTTTATGGCCTCAACACATTTAATATTAAAATTTATCAATGTATATTTAGAGAAAACCTGAACAAAAATGTCAGGAGAAAGAAAGTGACAAGGTTGAATCTGAATGAACCACAAAACATCTGGAACAATGGATCAAAACAAAATGCATGAGCATAATGCATTTGTCCAGCTAAAATCAAAGTCAGGAAATCAGCACAAACACCTGATACCAGCTGCCAGGGCTGAAACAGAAGGGTGATGATATGGGTTTGTTTTCCAGCCGCAAAACATGGCTGCCTTGCAGTCATTAATCCAACCATGTCCTCCTCTGTTTATCAAAGTATTCCAGAGTCAAATGTGAAGCCATCTGTCCAACAGCTGAAGCCCACACTGGGTCATCAACAGGACATTGTTTCAACACACAGCAGCACATCTCCAGCAGATGATGGAAAAATGGAAACAATGTGTTGCAATAGGGCTGATTTAACCGGATTGAAAAGCTGTAGCTGGACCACACAGAAGCTGATCAGAAAGAGGTTCAGCAACTTAAGGTGTTCTCTGTTTTTCTATTTTGTGTGATACCTTTGTTTATCATTTTATTTTTATTTTTATTTTCATGTACAAAAACAATAAAGTCAACAAGACTGTAAAAAAAAGTGGGTAAATAATGCTTGTGTGGATTCTGATGCACACTTCAGATTTAAATAGTTTCAAATTATGGTTGAAATAATTTTAGTTGATTAATTGAATAATTTAACATTAATGACACTAAGATGTTCTGACTCAACATACAAAAAATGAAGCAGGATGTACTTTTTACACAAAGTAAATAGAAATTTACTGTCAACATAAACAATAAAACTTAGTACATTAAGCAAATTCTGATATATTTCTGTTGGATTTTATCTTGCAAAAACCACTATGTCTTGAAATGTTCTATTTGAAATATCCATTTGGAGATATTTGGTGCACTAGGGTAACAATTTCAGATTTGCTGATAAATATCTGTCAAGTTGAAGTGATAAACCAGGATATGATTTTCAAAATAAAGTGAAGTAACTTCAGACACTGTATAAATTCCCAGGATCAAAGTCTCTAATTGCATGTATTAATTTAATGAGCAATAATAATAATAATAATAATAATAATAATAATAATAATAATAATAATAATAATAATAATAGTACGCATCATCTTTTAATCGGAAATGCACATTGTCTTACTTTGAAAGGTTAGGGCGGAAGTACTACCATTGTAGTGTTAGCTTCATATCGCGGTTATATCCGCCGCTTCTCCATCCACGCCGCCTCAGTGACAGACATCCTGCCGTCGGCCAGGAATGCACAGATTTTGGAGAAACCTCCTTTGACACCTTTTTACACCTCCAACCGTAAAAAGATGGAGGTCAGTCCCGTTTATATGCAGAGTGGTGACAGTGAGCAGGATAGGCCCGCTTATCCCCGGGTTTTCCCAACAGGCGAAGCCCGGAAGCGCGACCACCTTAAGGCGGGACTCTGCGTGGACTTCCCGGTGTCGGTGGTTCTTCCGGCCGGCGGCACCGGAGAGCGAACCGGACTGCAGACACCAAAACAGTTCTGTCCGTTTCTGGGTAGACCGCTCATAAGCTACACTGTAGAGTCCTTTGAGAGGTAGGAAAATAAGCTACGATAAATCCCTTTTAGTTATAAAATACAAAAAAAACTGTTGGAAATATAGTTGCCTCTGACAGGGATGGTTTTACTACATGTAGGGCCCAGGGGCTAAAAATTAAAGGTCCACCCCCAACATCTCAAACTGCATTTATTATTTTCTGCAACCATTCACAAATCAATCAAAATCCATCAGGAATTAGAAAAATTATTGAGACCAAACATACAAATCCTTTGTCTTTCCAAAATCAAAATATCTTCTTTTCCCAGCAGTTACTGGTGATACAAGGAGAACATATTAAAATGTCATTGAAGGTATCAGAAAAAAAGGTCCATTCCATCCATTTTGTCTGGGTATCACAATAAAATTAATGAACACAGAGAACTGATGATCGAGATTATGGTTATTGAGAAATATTCAAATTCTGTTTTTCCAATCGGTGGATGCGCCATAAATGCAGGTAGGTTCTGCAGACGCTAACAGATAACAAGAACAATGTTAAGAATAATTTTTGTGTGAAACCGAAGTCACCTATAGATAGAAAATGCATGAAGTTATTTGAAAAGATACACTTTTGACAATGTTTTGGGAATTACAGCTTATATTTGTTTATCCAAGTACAAATCTTCTCAAATGAGCAGTACCAATATCATATACGTTAAAGACCTTTATTCAGAAGTTATAAAATAAAAAATAAGTTAAAAAAAAAAAGGCATGTGTTGACCAGCTGATATTTTGAGTTGTCAGGATAAAATTTTGGCAATTTTCTACTCGAACCCACTCAGTTTTTTATTATTAATGATCTCAACATAAATAGACTGTGTTATGAGAAATTCCCAGTATTTTCCGATCGGACTTTGAAGTTTTTTTCCCCCCTCACATCCTGGCACGTTTAACCATGCCATTGTTAGGCTTGTCAGGAAGTACTCCAGGGTGTGTGTTTGCATGGAAGGAGTTTGTTTTATTCAAGGATTACCTTTTACAAGAAATGTAAGTGGCTTGTTTTGTGTGTTTCAGGAAGCTTTGATCCTGCCTTTGGCTGAAGTGTCCTGTTTTGGATGGCTTTTATTAACCACATAACTGCTGTGGGGGAATACCTTGATTAAAGCAGAACAATATAGTGTTATAAACTAAACAAAGCAAAGGGTTGTTATTTGAAGGAAAATTTAGCAGTGGTTCCGCTTTAAGTCATTTAAAAAACATCAACATTGTAAATTAAACAGCCAATGTAGATTGATTTAAAGTAAGAAAACATAAACTCTATTTTGAAAATGCAATTTACTTTATTACAGTTTGCTGGTGGAATATTTGAGTTTTTGTCTTTGGCAGACAGGTGGTCATATTTTCAACAGATTTCAGGCTCCATGATGGGGAAATGAAACTGAGGATGTTTACATTACATCTCAATCCCTGGCTGGTGATAAAAACTGTTAAAACAACAACTGCTGTTGATCAGATGAGTCCTATTTACCTGTTGATTGTTGATTGTCATTAAGCGAGTGAAAGGGAGAGGTTTTCTGAGGAGAACAGTCAGGATCACGGTGAAATGATGGTGTTAAAAGACACAATCTGAACCCTAAGTGTCCGCAGAGTTTTATTTGTGACTCAGTTTTCATATGAATGTATCATAGTTTGTAGATGATGGAACAGATCTGATCCAGTATCTGACCAAAGGCCACCAATCCATCCTAGAGTTTATACTTTGGCTGCACAGTTTGTCCAGGCCATTTGCAGCCCTTGGACTGATTTTTTTTTTTCACGGCCCCTGACAGGGATTTTAGAATGATACAATCTGAACCCACCAGGCACAAATAATTGATTTAATTTAAGCCTTTTTATTTTTAATTGGTGCAAAATGATCATAACTTAAATTTGTCCTACAGTTGGAAATACTGGCTACAATGAAAGTAATATGTTTTGTAGACTTTTCTGGCTCATTTTATGAACTTTTTTTATGTTTATTTAGCAAATTTAGCACTTTAATACTCCATAATTTATTTTCTAGTGAGCAAAACTGTCCTTGAGTGAAATGAAATGTAAGTTCGTTCTGTGTACGCTGTAAGAAATAGAAGTGAAACTCAAAGTATTTGTCTTTTAAGTAACCAGGGTTTTTATTTTCTCCTGCAAGCTCCACATCTCTCCTTTGATTTTTTCTCAACATTTTCATTAATTTATTAGAATTTGCTAAATGTGTTTTCAAAGAAAAAATATACTTTTCACAATTGGCCTATTTTTTTAATCCAGACTTAAAAAATTGAAGACTGGATGCTTTTCCTTTAGTGAGGAATAAATAAAAAAAATCTTATTACTTTAATTATATCAATGTGGCTTAGTTTTTCGTTCAGAAGGAAAAAATAAATTTTTCTGGCCTGCAAGTTCTGACTTATTGATTTCGACAAAAAGTTTGGACACCCCTGCTGTAGGAAATTGCAGTTACTCAGATCCAGCTGCTGTGTAGCTGGATTTGTTCTGACTGTGCCTACTTCTATCCTTTTTCATTTGCTTCATTCTTGCAGGGTGTCATGGATCCAAACCATTGTGGTTGTTGTTGCGAAGGAAAACATCGGCTTGATGATGGACATCATCCAACGGTTCCAGCACAAGAAGGTCCTAGTGGTACCCGGCGGCTCAACTCGTCACAAGTCCATCTGCAATGGAGTCGCGGCGCTGGGGGAGCAGCGGAGGCCGGCGGCCCACAAACCCAAGGTGGTCATCATACATGATGCTGTCCGCCCGTTTGTGGACGAGGACTTCCTGTACAAGATAGCGATGGCTGCCAAGGACCAAGGAGTGAGTGCAGAAAAAGCTAATTTAGTAAATACAGACTTAGGGATGGGTATTTATTGTATTGTTTATGATTTATTGTAAAAAATTAATTTCCATGAGAAGATTTTGATTTGTCAGTGTCACAATAAATTCAAATTAATGATGTTTAAAAACCCCTAGAACTGTTCATATTGTCAGGATTATTATAAAAGTGCATAAGTAGTTCATGTAGAAATCTGAAAAAAGGACAAAACTTTAAGTCAATATCCCCCACCACTACAGGGATTAAATTAAGAGGAAAATAAAAAAAATTAATAAGATTTCATCTACCCGTCCATCTGAATGGAGCTAATTTGAGATGCCCTGGGTTTATTGGAAGCTTGGATTTATTAGTCAAATGATTGTTCTGTGTTCAAGGCTCAGCAAATGGAAAACCAATGAAGTCAGTAAATTTCATCTCTCTGAGGGACAAACAGTGCAGAGACTCAATATAATCCCTGTTCAATTGGAGAAACAACCCTGAAAGCCACTCTGTCGTCCTCACGCTTGGAGAGACCGATGTAAGCTAAATTAAATCCTGACTAGAGCTCAAACTTATTCAGCCTTGAGCTGAAAACCAGAGAGGGTCAATCACAGAAACAAGTGGAAACAAATCCGCAGTGATTAGATGTCCCAGATTCAGATATTACATAGGAAAGCAGGGTGTAAGCTCATCTTTAAAGTCTTAAAATGTCTTAAATCCATTTTAAAAAGCAAGTTGGCCTTAGACACATTAATCACAAGTCTTAAATTTTGGATGTAGGTCCTATGTATTTTTTTTCTCTTGTCTTGCTGGACCTTTTGGTCAGACGCAAGTTTGAATTGCACACAGACATTTTCATTGCATTCTGCAACTCAAGATATTTGAGGCTACCAGTAACCAGATGCTAATATATCACTCTTGCTAGCTAAGTAGGAAGCTAGCTTGGTTTTTGCGTCTCTCACGGCAAAGTTAAAATTTTGCATTACCAACCTGGAGCATTATGGCAATTTACTGATTTTTTAAAATAAATTTCTATCATGACACATTTTGAAAGGTCTTAAAAGTGTTAATTTGAGTTTGTGAAACCTGCAGAAACCCTGGGACTTGAACCTAATTGTTCACCTGTTTCTGTAAACCCAATCACAGAAACACTCCAAAGCAGACCGAAAGAGCAGAATCAGGTTTCATGATTCGAGCTCATTTGAACTAGATTAATGCATCATTTCATGATGACAAAACATTTAGATATATGGATAATTTATAGTTAAAGCTGAACATGATGCAGGATCCTGTTGAAAGGAGGTCACACAGGCTATTAAAAGAACATTCACAGATCCCGGCATTTCTGATGTGTCTGAGCTTTGAGGTGAACTCCCAGAGCAGGTGGTCTGGTCCTTATTATCTAACCTCCTGAGCCCTTCTTTGGTAAAAAAAAAAAAGCAGATTTTCTATCTCAAAAGCATGCAGAACCCATTGAACATAGTTGCCTGCCCTTTACCATGCATCCACAATGCTGGACCAGAAATATTTCATTAGAATAGCAAAGGGTATGCACATTTGCTATTTTGTTATAAATCATTACACTAGTGGATTAAGTCCATTAATATGTCATTTGGTAACTATTTTAATATTTTTTCAATCAAATCCCTTCTTTGGATTTTAATTTTATTGAACTACATCTCAGTAATCCTCTGAGCTGCATTTAAGAGCCCTGCATAAATGTCTGAGTTATTGGAAGTGCGATTCGCGCACATTGGAGCGATCTGGTTTCATTACTAGCCTGGTTGATGCGTTTTGTCAAAATCCTGGAGCAGAAAGAAAATTTTAAACCAACTCTAATGAAAACTTCAAATACAGATTTGCTAAAATCTCCTCATCTGTGTTTTCTTCTGCTTCTCCATATATGGCAGCACTAGTCATAGTTGTGATGTAACATTAAACCAATTACAACTTGAACTCTCACTCCGTCTGAGCCTGGTCTTATTTTTCTAAAAGCACAAAATCTTACCACGTATTTTTGGTTTAGCTTCTGGTGCAAAAGTCTTAGTACATTTAAAATAAAGCAAAATGAACTTAAAAGTAACTTTTGAGCATGATACAGAGGCTTGTTTTAAGTAAATAATTCCTGAAAAAGTACTGGTTCCATTAGCAGATTATTTTACTTATAACAAGACATCATTCCTATGTTGTAGGTTAATTTATCTGCCAATGGAAAAGGTATTTTTTCTTCAATATTTAGGAGCTGTTTATTTGAAAAAAGTGGCTAAATCTAGCTGAAAAGTTACTTGTAACTTAGTTTGTCTAATTTGAATTGTGTTAAGATATTTGCACTGGGAACTAGACCAAAAATATTTGGTAAGATTTTGTGTTTTTGTAGAGATGATAAAGCTTCATCTTTTATTGCATGTATTAATCTGGCAGAAGTGTTTCCCAGTCAATCACCTTAAAACTCACTGCTTGCTGTTCCTGTCTGATGCCAATTGGGTTCAGCAACCCAAATTTACATGGTACAGATTTGTTTTTGTGCATTATACACAGCAGGGAACTTGCATGTGTCTAATTTTGCCTCTTACAAATATTTTGGTGAACATTATTTCTCTCTAAACTCATTCTTGATTCATAATAAATTCCAGATCCTACTGTCTTTTTCCACACAGGCAGCTGGAGCTATCAGACCGCTTGTTTCCACTGTGATCGCCACAACGTCGGAGGGATACCTGGATCATTCATTAGAGCGAGCCAAGTACAGGGCTAGCGAAATGCCTCAGGGGTTCACATATGATGTCATCTGTGAGGCCTACCAGAAGGTGAGGGCGGCTTTCTAAGTTACTGCGGTTTGATTCTTCTTTATATTTAGTAAAATAAAGAAATGTAGAAATGTTGGGACAAACCTTTATGTATGATTCCCATTTTGACAAATCGTAAAAATTGTTCCATTATAGTTCAATATGCCGAAAGCTACAGAGTTTCAGTGTAGAGTCAATTTTACAAGGAAATAAAATCTTCTGACTGTCTTCTGTTGGAGCTCAGTCCAGCATTCGACATTGTTGACTGTGATATATTGCTGAAATGTCTAGAGAGCTGAGTCAGACTCTGGTAGTGTACTGAACTGGTTCAAGTCTTAAAAAAAACATTGTTGTCTTTTTATCCGAGTGAACAGAAGTTACATGCTGGGTATGGTTGTTATAAACGATTATTTTAGTAAACGAGTATTCTAATAATTAATTGAATAAAAACTTGATCAAATAAAATACTGGTAAATCCTACCATAACAGCAGCGAGGTTTCCCCCAGAATCCGGTGGTTGGACGCTAGTGCAGTCGTGTTTTCTTGTTAAAAAATATCTAAAGTTGAAAATGTAAAATTATCACTTCATAAGAATATGTTACTCAAAGATTGGAGGATTAACACCTGGACACCTTCTATAAAGTCTTGAAAAATGTAAACATTTTAAAAAGATTTAAATAAATAAGCAATGCTTAGCCTTGTGGGGGCACAAGTAAAGGCTAGTGGCCCGCCAGGCTTATAATGCACTGGGGGAAATGCTGAGCAGTATTAAAGTCTTATATCAACATTGACCCAATTTTTCATATTGTTCCGATGTCACTGGCCAGTTTTTTCTCCGATGCACCTGGAAAACAAATCACACGCTAAACATTTGGGCATCCACAGACTCCTGCAGGACAAAATTGGAACAAAAATTCCCTTTTGAAAGATAACAAACTCTTAAATTACCCTTAACCTTTAGGTTGGCTCGTCTCAGCAGTTTTATACGTCTACCTGGATAGAAGAGAGAATTTAGATTGATCTGTGCAGTATCCCCTCAGAAAGCAAAGACTTTGTGTCCTTAAACCTCGGCAATTGAAACTAAAGATGCAGAAGTCGACTGCATTTATTTTTCAGACATTTGGAGTTGGAGATTTCAGCCTTGATTTCTGCTTTGAAACAGGCAGCAAACTTTTAGCTCACAGCTTAAGTATGCCTCTCACTGGAGCGCCATTTGTCTGAAGTTATTTTTATTCCTGGCACGCACAGATCTGCAGATCGCTTTGAAAGCTTCGCTGGCTACAACATTTTTAAGAAAATGAGCTCACTCTGGTGCTGCAGTGTCACAGATAGTCAGGTTGCAGAAAGACACACTGTCGCCTCTGACTGCGTGCCCCTCTCCTCCTTCTCCACCTTAAAAAGATTTGAAAGTCTAAGGTGTCTGTCAGGTTAAGACTGTAGGACATACTCATGAAAAATCTCAGAGAGCGTCAGATTTTGAGCTTGACATCCATTCAGAGTTGAAGAACTGAGCGGTGAAAAGACAAAAGGAGGGACACTTTATCCAGTATTCTGGGAGGGCTTTTGTATTTAGAGAAAATGCTAAAGGTTAAATTACCTCAACACAGAGACAATGTTTTTTCTCCTCTATGGTTACACAGACGCTGAAGGAAAAGAACCATTTATTATCTATTTTATCACTCAAATATTATTGAACATCAGCTTAAGCTTAACAAAATACCAACCTACTCACTGACTCGCAATACATTAAATCAAGGGTGTCCAAAGTGCAGCCGGGGGCCATTTGTGGCCCTCGGAAGGATTTTGGGTGGCCCAAATGGAGCATAGCTGGTTGATGCAGATAGACACTTTTTCAACTTAAAAAATAAATAAATAAATAAATAACATCAAATAAAAAAAAGTATTAGGTACCAAAAACTGATTCCCATTTTTTATGAGGGTTTTGCATTGATCTTCATTTTTAAGTAACTGGAAGCACAAACAATGTCCTACTATTTCTCAAAACACAAATCTTAGAATCAGCGCACGAAATGTAGAAACTGTGAGTCTTTTTGTATCTGCACATTCGTTTTCTACAAACATCTGACCATTTTGTTCATTTTACTAAAATTTTAATTGTTTAGATCAGTGGTTCTCAACCTTTTATGAGGTCCTGAACCCACCAGTTTCATGTTCACTGAACCCTTCTTTAGTAGAAATAAAATGTGCTTTTTTTTCCAAATTCAAGACATAGCTATATGTTTTTTTTACTGGTGCACAAAATGAGTCATGCATGAACATCTCCTTGCTCAAAGATCAAAACCAACACAATGCATGAACTCGCAACAAATTACGGTATTTCTTTATTCTGGCCCCCAAAAATATTTTTTATGCTATTTTACTAATGAAAAATTTTTTTAATAACTTAATTTTTTTTAATTTGAAATTTAATTAGTTTTTTTTTTGTCATTTTGAATCCACAAAATACTTTTTTACTTTTTGCCATCTCCATGCAGCTTCAAGAAGTGTTCCCTTAGTTTTGCCGGTGCGAGACTAGAGTTGCTCACCTTGGCATTGCATATCATGCAGATGGGACGCAGCATGATAATGCAATTTTTTATTATTTGTTTATTTTTATTCACAGTTTAGTAAACCTTACATTAAGGTGAACTTTTTTGAGGAAGATCTGACCAGGAAGATTCAATCTGAAAGTTTCACATTGCAAAAATGTTAGTCATCATGGTTCAGGTGCAATAATAGCAGTGTAACTTTTAAAGAAATCTTAAAAGTTTGAGAAATCTTTAAATGAGCCTAAAATCTCCCACAGAGACCAAACATTAAGCATTTATGTAGCTCCTCTGCTCTATTTGGTAGAAAATGCAGTTTGACCAAATTTATGGAAACTTAATCTTCTGCGAATCCAAATTGAAAATTACAGTGAGAACAAGCAGAGCTGCACAAGTTCAGGAAAACATGAACTTGCAGTTCTTTTGCTGAAACATTTGATTATATCAATTACATCACTTTTTGTGACTCTTTTTTTTCTCATTTTCCTTCTTCACATTTCCCTCCTTCCCATTTTATCAGCTTTAGGATCACAGTTATGCTGAACTTGCATGCAAAAAGCTGGGAACATAATATCCTACCAAATACTCCTGTCTAAAGTGATTGCAGTGTTGCCTCTGAATGCATCAGTGACATGAAGTAATCCTTTACTTTAGTCACTTTTTACTGTATTTTTGCAGCGTATATATGTACTTCAGGTTAAATGTACACACATATCTGTTCTGCTGATTGACAGACAAGGATCTCTTACGATGATCATCCTATATCGTTTAATGTCTTGTAAAATAATGTGGTCAAAAAGACCTTAATTAAAAACAGTTTTGGACATTTTTAGTGTTAAGTCTGAAAGATAAGAGAGCTGTTTAAGGCCAAGAAGATTTCATTGGCCAAAGAAAATGGAGCTCTCTGATGTGAAAAATGTGGTGACAGCAGCGTCATGTTCTGAGCATTTTCTTTGCAAGCCCATCACTTTGCAGACAACTAAATCAAATGGAAAAGAGCATTGTGAAGTTTATGATGCGTATAGAGCAGAAACGTTAGAGTATAGTAGATTCTTAAAGTTTACCATCAAAATTCAAATAATTGGTTAAAAATGGTGTTTAGTATTATTAAAGCCGAATCAAATTGTTTTGTGGATAAGGACAAAAAGAGGTTTTATTCACCAAACATTTCCAGGTTGATTTATGCTGCAACAATCTGTCAGGGTGTCTAATTAAGCCAAAGAATTTGCAAACACTTAAAAAATTTGCTGTGAACCATTTTTATCTTTTCTGCCAAGCTCTTCTCATACTTTAGAACCATTACTCCTGTAAAGAAGTACTTCATAAGAATTAAGACACATACTTTGTTGACAATAATTTAATAAATTACACTGTCCATGTGGCCCCACTGCAGTGCACCGAGTCAGACTTCGAGTTCGGTACCGAGTGTCTCCATCTTGCTCTGCAGTACTGCGGCACCAACGCCAAACTCATTGATGGCCCGCCAACCTTGTGGAAGGTGAGCGTAAGAACAACCTGCTTTGGGATGGTACTGATCCGTTAAGTGAGACTTTGTACTGTTTAATGAACACAAATAAAGGTTTTTGAATTTTAAAATAGTTTTACTTAGGAAAAAGTCAAAACATGGCCCATGCTTTCTGAAAAGAGTCTTTATATGCTGAAACATGACAGTTTCCAGTTTCCTGGGTACTGGCGCCGTTACACCGGTTCTGTCTGGAGGAATGGGGCAAATTTCACAGCAAACTGTGGTGAGAAGATTATGAAACAAAATCCACATAATTTGATCCAAAAGGCAATCCTATCAAATACTTAAAAAATGTTAGAAAAATGTAAAAAAAAAAAAAACTCCCTTCTAATTTTTGGTATTTGGTGAAGAGAAATAATTATGGCAATCTCAATTTAACAAAAACAAATCAGATATAATGTAAAAATATATTTATGTTTTAGCACTTGAACCACAATTGTATTTAAAGAACCTGAATCTTTCATTGGAGTAAAAGGGGATTTTAATGATTTACGATTGTTTGATTTATCACTTTATCAGCTCAGGTTTAGGCTTCTGTAGCTTAGAGGCAACATTCCACCTTTGTGAGGGTTTTAGGACAAATATCTCAAAATCTGAGGAAATAGTTTGAAAATATTTCTGCAAGGAAGTGCGTGAATAAACTACTTTTGTTTCTGCTTTGATTGACTAAGCAACTGTTTGTCCATCAGGTGACCTATAAACGGGATTTAGCTGCTGCAGAGTCCATCATCAAAGGTGAGTTTCCGTCCTCGTAACCTTTCTTTTTACACGGACTGTTAAGCAGTTCACCCGGAAAGTATTCACCGTGCTTCACTTTTTCCACATTATATGTTACAGCGTCATTTAAGATTGAATTAAGTAAAATCTCTTTCCACAAAATTGTGCACACAAATACTTCATTGTGACAATGTGGAAAACATTTGGGGATTTTTGCTAAAAAAAAAAAAAGAGGAGACAAAGAAATTTGCTTAATACTTTTAATACAATTGCAGCCTCCTCTTTTTCAATGTGATGCCACCAGATTAGCTTTGCAGTTCTTCTTTTAGTTGCATGGAAGATCTCTTCAGGTCTGGACTGTGGCTTCGGCTCTCCAGGACATTCACAGAGTGGTTCTGATCCTCTGTTGTCCTGCTGACAAATGAATTGTCGCCTCAGTTTGAGGTCAAGAGCGCCCTGGGGCAGGTTTCCATCCAGGTCAGGATGTCTCTGAACATTGCTTTTCATCTTTCCCTCTGTCCAGACAATTCATGCTGCTCCAAAAAGTCCCCATAACACAATTCTGGCACCACCTGGCTGCTGGAAAAGACAGGATTTAGTTGTTGACTTACCATCCAGAAACCACTTGCTGTATTATTGTTGATTTTGCAGGAGGCTCCAATTCTGCTTTTCAAAGATGTACAGTTGTATAATTGCACATCTGTTTGCAGGCATTTTTATATGTGAGTGTGAATGTTAAGTTGGGGGGGCGTGGCCAGTAGCAGCTTATTTGGATTTAATGTGACAAGAAGAGACCCTAAAACAGCTGAAAATAGATACAACTACCCACAAAAAAAAACTCATGATCTAAGAATAATTTTTTGAAAAAGATTTTAATTAAATTAATTAATTGGGAAAAAATCTCAAGAGAATTTCCGCATTGTCATAATGAGGTGTTTGTGTTGCAGTTTGTAACAAGACTGTAACAGAAAATATGGAAAAATTTGAGCACTGTTTATACTTTCCGGATGCACTGTGTGTGTCATTCAGAGATCTTTGTTCCTGTTGTTGAGTTGTACGGTATGCATGCATGCATGCATATGTGAATGGCTGACAGAATAAATGCCCTGAAGTGAGCAGAGCCGGGGTGCTTTGTTTCTTTTTGTGTGGTCTGTAATTTGCAGTCAATAGGTGACAATAAACCAAAATGACCCGTCACCATTCTCTAACTGGGGAAATTCTTTTTAAGCATTGTTTGGCCTGAGATGAAGAGGGCGAGTGGAAGCAGACAGTGAATACTGGGGAGAGCAAGTCAGGACAAGGGACACCTTCACAATCAGAGGAGAGGAAATAAACACAGCCCCATATTTCACCCTGCCAGCACCTGGACCAACAAGTACCTGTTTGATGGTGACAAGAGGTGCGCGGCGATAATTCCCAGAGCCTCCCAAGTGAATGAATTCATTGTGTGTTTAAAAAAAAAACACATGGAAGGAAGTTCTCATATCTGTCAGTTTGACTAACTGCTTATTGCTTCGGTTGGTGTGCGTTCGCATAAACGACTGGTTCTTTTATCAAGCGAGGCATCTAAACTCGAGGTCTAATTTTTAATTTTTTGGAGTCTGCAATGAGCTGATTGTCCTTGATAACTGTTGTGTTTTTTCTAAAGACGTGTAATTGTATTTTTGGTATGTCAACTGGCTTGGCTGGGTGCCAGCTGGTGAATTGTTGATATATCCGCTCACTCAGTGTAATCCACTTAGTGTGTAAATCAATCAGCAGCTCAGTGGCACATTGACAACAATACAAGCTGCTGACTAGTTATTGGAAAATGTCTAAATCTGATCATTTAAAAATGTGGGTTTTCAAATGAAACTTTTATCTCCTCAAAAGAATTACAGAATAATAAATGTTTTTTTCAGGCGGATTAATTTTAAAAAAATCATTTTAAATAGATAAAACAACAGAAAGCAATAAATGATTCATTTATTTTTGAGCATTTTCAACTTGTTTTAATTGCATATAGCTAATATGCAGTTTAAGAAAAGCTGTAACTACAATTCTAATTTCATTTAAACTTATAATCACATCTCATCAGTGCTACTGATGCTAAAATGTCTTCTTCTGTTCTTTCTCTCCTTTTTGAACGCATGTTCAATGTAAAGTTTTCAAAGCCAAAAATTAAGCTTCATCTGATTTTAGATGCAGGCACAAACAATAAGCAGTAGCGTTAGTGTCTGATTACAGAAACAGATTTAAAAAGGAAAAATGTAGCTAAACTCGAAACCAGTTACTTTAAAAATACATCTCCCTACATAAACAAACTGCTTTCACAGTAAATTTTATTGTTGTAAAATAGTATCCAGGTGATACTGAAATATTGACACGAAAAAGTCGAATAGCTTGATAATCAGACTTTACACCGTAATAACTTTAACCTTGCTCGAGCTTTTTCCTCTTAAATTTATGTTAGTAAATATTTTCTCCACCTACTGGCAGAGCATTGGTATTACAGTGTTTTAATTCAGGTTTCCGGACAGATGGGATTTTAATACAAAAGGAAAATATATCTGATCATAAAAATAATATCAGTGTATAATTATATAATCTTTTTACACGTTGAACCCTTGATTGTTGGAGATTTTGGTAACAAAGCTGAATTAGGATGCAGAAGTCTTAGTTCTCTTGAAATAACTCATCGGTTTCTTTGTTTTCAGAGACTTTGTCGCAGTCAGCTTGCCTTATAACCGGGGGATCGGACGCTGCTATGGCTCTGGCCAATGTTCTCCAAAAAGCTTTTGGAGCTCTGAATATGGTGAGTACTGCCGCAGAATACCAGCTTTCCATAATTACAGTTACAATGTTTAATGTTTTGTTCTCGAAATTGTTTTGAAATCTTCATGTGAAGAAATAAGAAGTTTTGTTCCAGAATATTAAAACCTGCTGTCAGTCCTCTTTGGTGCTTTTGCTTTTTAAAGAGCTTTAACTACTGTTGCCGATTGATTTTTCAAAAAGAACAGGTGCTTTTTATTTTTCACTTCCTCTTTGTCTCATATTCATTAAATTTTCCCTGTCAAAACTTCATGTGCGCTCCATGTGGGTGGCCTAGTGGTGGGAGTTGGTATTTACATTCAGCCGAGTATCATAGCCTGTCGAAAATGTCCACACTCCATTTTCCTCCTCATTTCTTCCCAAACTCCATTTCTCTCTGATTCAGACAGAAAGAGTGAACTCTGGGACTTTCCCTGATAAACTGGGTGTTTATTGATGAATTATTGCCTCCTCCTTAATATTATCTCCCTTGTAAAAGACCAGACAAATGGTTAATGTTCATCCCTCTGCCTTTCTGTAACATCTGTTTTGAACTCTCAGTCCTTTTTCTTGGGTAATCTAAAACAGCGCCTGAATGCACAGAAGTAAAGACTGACAGTTTTTCATATTAGATATGGCTGCACAGACCACATAAACCTTTGATATGTGAAACACTTTTCTGCACCTCAAGAACTGCGGGATTTCCGTTGATCGAGTTTGAAAATCAGAAACCTCCAACTCAGGGCTCTCAAGCTTCAATCTCAGAGCCTGCAGCTCAGCTACCTTTAGATGAATATCTTTTCAGCACAGTTACATCAAAGATTTTGATCATTTGGAGGACGTAACTCAGGCTTTTGATTCAGCTCTGTTGGACCAGGATCGCATGTTTCTACCTACACTGTAAAAGGATGAAAACCACTCAGGTATAAAAATAGAAACTGCTTTTCATGAGATATATGAAAGGTAACACGTTCTGCAGCCGTAATGAGAACATGAAACTGATCCCTGATGAACAGCTGCTGACAGATTCAGATGGCTGTGATGCAGAAAATATGTTAAAAAAAACCTCAAGAATTTAAAGATCAATGTAACTATCAATACCTGCAAGTAGATTTACCCAATATAAAAGAGATATTGCCTTAGGATGCAAGTTATCAATTACTGAGTTAATGTAAAGATGATTGATCTTATGGGTAAGCAGCCATTTTTTTATAAAAATTTTTTGCTCTTGTAAACATCTTTCAATAACATTAAGGGCTAATTTTATTTTATAATATGCTAAAATAACAATAAAAAAAACAAAACATTATTTTGCATTAGCTGTATAAATAATACCTGAATAAACAGAATATTGTTTTTCACATGTTATTAAACTTGAACAGTTTAATTTCCCATTCAAAATTTGACTGGAGGAACAAGAGCACACATTTTCAGTCAGGACTTCATGTCTTTCTTCTCCAAACTTGTAACGATTACACTCTAAACTTCTCCTCACACTTTGTCTCTGCTCGGAGCAAATCTTCACTTGCAAAACTCTCTGCTCACTTGGTGGGATTTTACTGCCATAATCCAGGAGGAATGTTAAGGAACTAAAAGTCAACCAAAAAGTTACTTCTAAGTTGGTTTTGTCTTATTTCAGGTTTACTGCGACATTTGCACTAGAAACTAAACAAAAATACTCGGTAAAATTTTGTGTTTTTGCAACGCAGTTGTTTGGCATGAAGTTGCTATGTCATTAAAACTGCTACTTGAAACACAATTCAAAAATATTTTTTGTTATTTGCACCAGCCTCTTTTCTAGTACGAGGATCTAAACTCTGGAAGCACCTATTCAGGATCTTAGCTCCACTTTTCTTCATTGGTAATTCTTTAGCTTCTTGTAATCCTTTTTGATCTTTCAGTCATTTGAGATGATTAATTATATACTTTAATTATATACTTTATCTTCAGTCACAGTGTCTGGTTGGTTGTCACCAGTCTGTCAGGATGTGAAAATTTAGAGTCTAGACCTGAACTCCATTGAGAATCTGTGGAATGCACTGAAGAAGACTTGACACAGCAGTCCATCATCGTCAGCTTCGTCAAAAATCCCCAAACTCTTGAAGATGTTTGCTTTGTGACGGGATTTAGAAGCTAAAGACAAAACATTTCACCGCTTTTTGTTGGTTTCCCAAACGACTCTGCTTAGATTTCTACTGTATTTTACCACATGTTCACAGCACCCTAAGCCAGTCTTCATATTTGGAGACATGAATCCTTTATCTTGCACATCTGTATTTATCTTCCCTTGGTGTAACCGCAGACAGTAGAGATTGGTGGAAGAACACTCCACATTTCAGTTTTAATGTTCTACAGTGATCTAAACAGTTCATCCTCCTTTAAACCCGCTCCAAGTTCTTCATGATCCGGTGCCAGAGCGCGCGCCTCTCGCTGTGCGGCGCTGAACAGAGCCTCGGTGATGTATTGGAGCCTCTGTTGGCTCCTTTGGATCGGCTGTCTGGAGAGATTCCCAGCTGTGCTCAGGTGGCCTGTGGGGCCGAGGCTTTCCGGTGTGCCTGCAAGGAACCAGATCCATCCTTTTCACTGGGTTTGGAAAAGGAGGAAGAATAATGGAGGGGATGAAAGACAAGTACAGGAGGCGGAAGATGAAAAATTACTTTTGTCCCAGCTCCATCACTTGGCTCTGACACAGGAATAAGCAGTTTGGGTTTGTGTGCAGGTGGAGAAATTAGCGGCGCATGCTAGCAGAGAGAGGAAGACTATGGAATAAAATGATTTGGGATTTCTTCAGATTCAGAGGAATGTTGTCAGCAACGTGTAACAGACTACAAACAGGATTGTTACGGTAAACATGGTGAGGTCTTTAAAACAATCTTTCAACTGTGTTTTTGTCACATAATATAGAGACATCAATCATATTTTACTCTTAAAAAAAGATGGAAACAATTAAAGAAATATTTTACAACTAAGAAATTCTGTATCACATTTCTAAAGGCATCCAACCTTCACTCACTGTTTTGACTGCTTGGTGCTCCAGTCAATGCTGGCAATACCTTAAATCTTTCTTTGAAGCCACAACTCAGATCCCTCTGGCATTGCAACACCTTCCAGTTCAATTCATTTCATGCTTATTAATTATCTGTACGTTGTGCTTTTATTTGACTAGCTTTAATGAGTTCTTGTTCAACTGATGAACAAACAGTTCATCATTTCAATTTGAAGCTCACGCTAGTTGTTTCCCTCATCTCCTTAGATCAGTGCCGCCCCCCTGTACTTCCAAAGCAATATTACAGTAGAAGTATGTTATGGTTTCAGGTTTCGTTTTAAATTTAAAACTTACTGCAACTTCTAAGTTCCTGCAGTGTTGAGAGCTTAGGGGTTTCTTTCCAAGCGTGATCTTAAACAAACACGTCTACTTCAGGATTTTACTGCCATCCTGATTTAAATCATGCCAGTTTCTATGTGGAAAGCTTGCAAATCTTTTGCAAGTTGGACTGAGCTGATTTTTCTCCATAGACAGTGAGCTGTTATCTATCTCCTCTAGCCCCTAACACATGTTTCCCATAACCATTACACATTTTCAATTGCTTTCCGTTACTTCGTTTGGGTAGAACAAACTGTTTCAGTGCCAAAGACAGCTTCTGGATGTCTATTGTGGTGTTTATTTTATGCAAGCAGGACATTTTAGTTTTAGAGCATAATTAGATGCAAAACAGAAGAGATGATTGGTAAATGAATTCATTGGGTGATTTGGTTGCTTTATGTTGCCAGGACTCATTGGAAACATCAGTACCTCCATGTTGGGACTGTTTCGACATAAAAGCTTTGGTGTATCGTGATTTTACTACATTTTCAGCGTAATGTAATTTAGGTTGGCTTGCATATAGTTTGTGCTTTTTAATTTTGCCCAAGAAATAATGTTTTCTGATACAGCAGGGGGTGAAAAGAGCAACAGTGACTACTAACTAGTCATAGTGAAATGTTTCTGCAAGCACAAATGGTTTTAAAGGCCTTTATTAGCAAATAACCCTAAATTATCAGAAGAGTTGATACTTAATGTGTTTCTTCATCTTTTGAAATTGATCTGGGCCAAAATTTTAATGTTTAGATCTTTGTTCTGCTTTTATTACTTTTGCTGAGACATTGTTGTTCATCATGTTTCCCTGAAATGTTGGGAGGAGTTTCTCTTGCAGAATACTTTCATACCATTCTTCATTTGTTGCGATGTCCTTGTCCCTGACTTGGGAAGAGACTGTTAGGCTGTGGAAACTTATTTTATTAACCGGAGCAATTTTTCAACCAATTCTGACATTAATAGATGTTTTCAAGAAGTCCGCTTTATACTTTTCAACTGTAAAAAGTTTTTCGTCAGATCTTGTTGACACTTTCTTTTCTAAATAATCATTTCAAATAAAGGAATCCAATGATGTCAAGCACATCTGCTTCTCTTTTACTGCAATCAGTCCGCTAATCCCTCTAATCAGTCCTCCAATGCTCTTTTTTTTTTACAAAATTATTTATGTGTGACTTATGATTATAGTATATTTACTGGATCATGAAGGAAAAAACTAAATGTTTTCATTTTTAATAAAATAAATGTCACACTTTCTATGCATTGAATATCCGTTAAATTACTGTGCACATTGTGAACTGTTTGCATAAAAGATAAAGCTGGAGAATGTGCAAAACACATCATTTGCATTGTATTAACTACAGATGTTCTATACAGACCAATATATATTCCACAAGAACAGATACGTCTCCTCTTTCTTTCGGGTCTGCAAGAACAAACCGGCATCAGTGTTTTTCTTGCAGCCTGTTCCGGACACATCTACTGTTTTCTTGCAATTATTATACTCAAATGCTGCAGCAGGAAGAACCCATGAAACTTCCTAAGCGTTATGCACTTTAATTTTTGTGAAGTATGAAATGTTCTGCCAGGGAGAACGTTTTTTGTTCTTTTCTTGTTCTTGCCACCTTGACTAAAAGAACGAGTACAGGGCTTATAGAACATTCTGGCTTTTAATTTCTGTAATCGTGTAATCATAAACGGCAGGAAAGCAGGTGGTTGTAACCAAAGGAGTGAAAGGGACGAGACCCAGAAGGTTCCTAAAGCACTGAAGTCAGTTTTCCTCTTGACCTCAAATGCACCAGTCCTAATTTGAAGGTTTGAAATATTCCTGCAGGAGCTGAATGTCACGCCAGATCTGGTGGGAGACAACGCCAGGTATCTGCTGGAAGACTGGAACTTCATTAAGGTTTCTGTGAGTTTCCCTTTTAATCTAATAAAGTTAAAACAACTTTATCTGTACCCATCTTCTTTAATAATTGCTTTCTTCGATATCCAGGTCGATCCATTTTGCCCTTCAGAAGTGGAGGCCATAATTGTGGCGTTAGAGGCAGAAAACCGGGTTCTTCTCAACCCAGCAGTGATTATCTGGGTGAGTTAACAGCCAGGACTCCACAGCCAAGTCGAAGCTTCGATATGTGTGTTTTAAAACTAATTGTTCTGATCTGTTAAGACATTTCCTTCTTGCCAACCGGAGCCTTTATCCTCCAGAACACAGTGACCATAAACCTTCAGTCTGCTGAGACTCAAATGGAAATGTTATGTGCAAAAAGGAAATTTTGAATAATAAGTTCCCTTTAATTTTAGGAGAAATTGACAACACATAACTTTGTAATCCTTTCAAGACTGATGTCAGTATTTTTTTCTCTAATTTGTTTTTGATTAAATGTGTTGCTTTTTGAGGTTTTCCTGTTGACAGGAATGTTGTATAAAAGTGTTATTTTTATTATTCTGCAGCTCTGGGTGTGAAATCAGGCCTTCCTGTGTCTACAGAGTTTTGTTAATAATATATATACATAATTTATATAGTTTAAGAATGAGGCCAAATGATTCAGATATTATACAATAACGACCTTTTTCACATTGTTGTCATCTGAACCACTCATTGATACAGCAAAGGAACAAAACCCACAGCAACGCTTCTGCAGTTTCAGGGGGAGAAAACTTCATCTCTTCATTTAATGAAGGCAGTCCAAACTTTTTAACTTTTCTTCCCAGATCACCAAAATCTTGGAAACCTGTGCCCAACTTGGAACATGTGCTCAAAAAACATATTACATAAAACCACTCTAATGAAATGAGTGTAAATGTCACAGAGTGTTATTTTTTTATTGCAGATTTAGTCACTGACGACTTCATTAGTAGAACATCCACCGCTGTCTGTCACAGCAAGACCAAATACAGTCTGTCCTTAACCATAGAGGCAAACTGAGCCGTCTGCGGTTTATTTATTCATTTTAAGGTTGTTTTCCTTTAGTTTCACTGTGAAAAGTTTATTTGCATATGTAACAGCTCTTGTTTGTCTTGGGTTGAAAGCAGAGGCAAAAAGACATTCTGAGAATTTGATCGTTATAAGTGCAGCTGGGCCTTGAACTGATGTAGCTGCAAACAAAGTCAGGAGACAAATAAACGAGCTGGACACTCTGTTCCAATGACAAATGATCGGTAGGGAGGCTGAGATATCAATCATGAGTTTTATTAATATTTCATTCAACTTTTATTGATAAAAATTCTCTTTTATCGCATGTAGATGAATCCAAGCCAGAATATGAAACTATTTAGCTGCTTCACATTCAGGCCTTCAGAAATAAAATAGAAATTGGTGACAAGTTTGTTTTTACATGGAAATTGATAAAATAACTCAATACGGGAGAAAGGAAGGTGAGGGTTAGGCCAGAAACCTTTCAATTAAAGAACTTAACCAACAGAAAATGGGTTATTCATGGTTTTTACCTGACAGTGAGAAGAACTGCACTTTCAGCCAAATTTTTATGGCCTTGAATGTAACATTAATTCTACTCCTTTATGCATATCCACCAGATCAACACCTGGATTATTAAAACAAGGGATTTTTTTAAACAAGACATTCTGTTAGCTTTGACTGTAGCTTTCCCAAAAATATCAACAAATAAAAAGTGTTGAGTACTGCTAGCTAAAAAGTTAATTGTGCTAACCCTAAAGCACCAGCCAGAAACATTAGTTCTGCTATTGCTATAGCACAATGCTAACATGATAGTCTATTGTTATCAAACGTGATTGAATTTGAAAAAAGGTTAATGTGAATCATTACAATCCAAACTTAAAAGACCCATCAGGCATTTAAATCAGTTTTCACCTGATTTTGGACGCATGTTCATTTATTCTGGTCTGAAAAATGCTTTCTTTTGAGTCTTCAGTATCTTTTGTTCCCCATATTTTTTTATATTGGGACAGATTTGTGTGGAGGTCTGGCCCTGCATGACTCAGTGGATAAAATCCTCCTAATTTGCTCAATAATCTGTCTTAACATATGAGATTGATATAAAAATAGATTGAAATAATTATGTGTTTAAAGAAAATAAACTGACAGCCTTGAATCGTTTCTCCTAGTCAGCTGAGACTTTTTAAGAATAACATCTATCTTTTGGGTTATTTTGGAATTAAAATAAAACAAAAAATAACACAATTAAATTTTTTGTTAAATAGATGCATTTGAGTGACACAGAGGATCCATCTACCAGCAGGAGAGCGATGGAGTCTGCTGCTCTGATAGACCTGGCCTCAACAGCCCGGCCCCGAAATATTCTTCTCTACGGCATCCGGCTTCATCAGCCTGAGGTAAGGGCTTTGTCTTTTCACACTTCCCTTTTTTTTTGTTTGTTTCGTTTCATTAGGAGCGCTCAGACTTCCTGAGGAATGCACAGTTAGGGAGAGGCCAAACAAAACAAGATGGGAAACATCTTTTAAAGTGTTTTGTTCAAATGTCTTGGCTTCAGGCAAGGTTGCTGTCTTTATCGTCTGTATGAGCAAAGTTCTGCTTGCCACCTTTTGTGTGCAAGTGGGAAAAGATGTCGGTCAATCGGTATGATTCAAAGAACAGGATATCACCGTTCTTCCTTTCTGACGCTGTATGTCTGAACTGAAAGCCAGAGATAAAACGGACGGAAAGGTGCTTTAGGTGTAAAGCTTTATGTGAGCCAAGCCACTGCGTTTGAACCTTGTGTCATGGAAATCCACTGCAAAGTCAGCCAAACTTGCACTGAGATCGTTGAAGTGGATGTGGCTGACCTAAAATCCATGAGTTACGACTCAGTAATTACAGGATTACATACATTTTGAAATATTCATCTTTCAGTGGGAGAAGAGTCTGGTTTCAGGCTACCAGAGCTAACAAATAAAAATTTGATTTTTTAAGACAGAATTGAGCAGGAAACCTAAGACAAATGTTGAATATTCATGACTTCTTTGGCTTTACATTTGACATTTAGCAAGATTTATGTTCATGGCTGATTGCAGTATTATGACAAATGAGGCTTTCCTGGCAGCTGCATGACTTTACAAATCAGTGCGAAAAGCGTCAAAGCCTCAGGCGAGGAGATGTTTTAGCAGGCCGGGTTTACTCAAACCTTCTTGACTTAAAAAAAAATTATTAAAGATTATGCATGATAACTTTTACAACACTTACTTTCGATTTATTTTAGGTAAGATCATTAGACCAGAAAAAAAAGGGCTACAAGTCAGCAACAAAGTTAGCCGAAAGATGCTGCAGAGGCTCGATGTTGTGTTTGGAAAGCGAAACATAACCGGCATGATAACAAACTCCTCCAGTCAAATTTGACTTATCCGGTGATTTATTGTGTTTATAGTGAGGATGAAGAATCCTTTTGGACTTAACAGACTGGCAGAAAATCAGGCATTGCTCAAATAGGCGTAATTTCTTTTCCCATTCTGGCCAGCTTTGTTGTTTGGATGTGCATTAGCTAATGCTAGACATGTGGCCAATTATGAGACAATAAGTCTGCTGTCGCTTATTTTGGCTCAAGTCACAGCTAGTTATTGCTAAATGTTGAAGGAAAGAACATTTGCAAAAAGCCGCTAGTAATCCGCAGACATTAGTAATGTTTTTTTCTTTTTTCCTGACAGTGCACACTTTAAACGTAAAAACAGAGCTAATGTAATGTAGGGCTGAAAAACGTATCACGATACAAACATTTTATACAGTCTTCCCTCTGCATACATCCTCCAACGTCGCGTTGCTCCTTCCTTTACTGCAGGATTCTTGTTGTGTCAAGGAAGAATGTTTTAAAGACACTTATCCACCCTGAAAGCTGGGGCTTCAACTAATGAATATTTTATTAATCGATTATTCAATCAATCACTCTGACGATTAGTCGGCAGATTTTTCATTTCACAAAATTAGAAATAATTCAGTTACTCTTTAGAAAATAAGAAAATACAAGTGTTATTAGCTGAATTTTAACAACATAGCATTCAATTAATGAATGCTTTGTTATTTGTGGCAAAGAATGTATCTGTAGCAAAAAAAAGTCTACTATAAAATATTGATTATTTTTTTGGATTAGAAAATGGACAGTAAACGATGCTTTTTTTGTTTGAGCAAATTGCTTTTTTGAGTCTGTATGCTGCAATTAACTATTAATCAATTACTTATTTAGTGGATGATAAATTTGAAAAGTCAAATTATTCTCGATTAATTTGATTAATTGTTTCAGCCCTAGTAAAAGCCCGTGGAAAAACTGATTGTGATTTATGTATACTAAATCCCTGTTGGTACTAATAAAAGTTGATTTCCACAGAAATCCTTGTGATCTACCAAATAATATTAGAACTGTGGGTTTTAAAATTTGTTCATAAATTGGGTTTTCTGATATATATATATGCATGTTCCTACTTTCAAGACTTTTGGTTTTCCAGCTCTGAAATATGACAATATGACCTTTAAATGATGAGTTGAAAGCTGCCTGGATTTGTTTGTGGTTGGCGAGACGGTGAACTGTATTGGTTCTAATCAAAAAGAGATGTTTTTCCTCGCTGGTTAGGCTTGCAAAACGCTGCTGTCCCACATGCGAGTTTGATTTTGGTGTCAGAAGTTGGACATTGTGGTTTCCCTCAGAATTATAGACACTAATGCTGATAATTTGTCAACCCGTTCCCCTTCTCTGACAGGACAGAGAAAATGATACAACAGGATTGGAAAGAGATGATGTGTGTTTCACCATGATAAAATGCTTCAGCCTGAGATAGTGGAAGAGAGAACGGGCTAATATAAATCAGTGCTAACCTTTTGTTGTAATGAGGATAACTTCCCCCAGCTGCCTTTATTAGACCCTGGTTAATGTTTTTAGAAATCTGTTGAAATCACCCCAGAAATCTGTTATTAGTAGTTAATCAATTCCTCAATGTGTGAGCCTTGAAGGGACTCAGAAAGTCATTCTTCTGTTCGATGTCATGAGAACTAATACGTTGTGAGTTCCACTTGACAACAAAATCTGGATTACATTTTCTGTTCTTGGCAAAGGCCGATCTGGTTTTTCTGCTGGAAGTGTCAACACATATTTTCTTTTGGCTTTCAAAGCAAGCTGTAAATACTTAACGATGCTGCTGTCCAGACATCTGCACAGTGAAAGTTAATTTTTTGATGCACAGTTGTATCTGTAAATGTGCTTCTTTAAAGCCTATTGTGCTGCTTTCATATCAAACGCGATTTGACAAAGGTTGACTTGGTGTTTGGTGCAACAGGCTTTGCCAATTGGGTTTGTCTGATAAAAAAAAAAAAGGTGGGACGAAATCGATCAGTGGAGCGGGAGATTTGCAGAGCCAGATTGGTCTCTGATTGTCGTCATTCCTACCTCCTCCATAATAATTTTGTGGACATTTTCTGCCATCAAGTAAATAAAGATCTATGCCAGGAAGACAACTTGACAAGGGTAACGTGAAGCCTTGGTCTCCGTGTACACAGAGAAGAATTTGTTATGGATCTGAAACGGAGCGCTCAGGTCTGCTTGAGTATTTTATTTATAATTACATGGCAGAGTTACAGTAGTAGAGATGACGTTTGGAGCTGGCTTAGCTGGGTTTCTCGTTTTAACAACAATAGTATTTACTCTCAATATGCGAAATGCAATTAATAGTAGTCACATAAACAACTCTCACTCACTTCCTCACCTCTGTCGTCTTTCACTGCCCTTTTGTCTTGAAGTCAGTTTCTTTTAGTTATAATTCTATGTTTTGAATATGTATTGTTTTATTTGTACAGTTGAGCTACTTCTGTAAAATCCATTTCTCTTGAGTTGGGAAAATTATTTTCCCTTTTTCTCTGCCATTTTTGTTTGCTTTTGCTGGATGGGTTTGCAGACGCACTGTGTCCAGCAGCAAGCTGCCAATGTTAGCCTGTAAGAGGAGAAAGAAATTATTACGTCATGCGGATCTAACAGCATTCTCTCTTTAACTACTTGTGATCAAAGCCCTTCTCTTGAGCTTTTCTCCATTTGTTGTTGCGTCTCTGAAAATGCCCACAAGCCAAACTTCAGATGCGTGAAAGTCTATAGACGTTGGCAGGGAAACACTCAAGACACCGGATCCTCGTACGCTGAGGTGATGTTGTGAAAACGCTGACGGTAAAAACTATCAGTGTCTGCGTCTGTGACAGGAAGTAAGTGTCATAGGATCTGTTCCTCCACAGGGTCTTGGTGACTTGTCTGCTGCTGAAAAGGGAGTTGTCACCGTGATATATGGGTGTTGTAATCCCTGCAGTGAGAGAGCCCTGATGTTTTCCCAACCCCATATTTCCTCCTTCTCAAAGAGCCCGGACCGGGATTTCTGAACCTGAGAAGAGATTAGGAAGAAAGGGAGAGAAAGGTAAAGGAGAGGGAGAGAAAGGCCTATTCTCCTCTACCTGTTTGGATCCAGGCCTGAAAGGAGACAAGTGAAACCATACACAACCTGCTGAAGATGCTGCTGTGACACTCCTGGAGTTGCACTCTCACTGAGGAAGACTGTGGTTTTAACACACTCCCTCATTTTCTCAAGCTATTCCACTGAATGAGCCGCACATCGCAGACTGAATTACTGCATTTCTGGGCATTTATTAATGTTAAAAAATCAGACTAAAATGTTATTTTTACCATTGTTTTCATCAATAGATATCAATAAAAATATGATTAAATGAAGCCTCGATGTGCAATTTAATTACATAAATCCAAATTATTTAAGTAACTGATATTCTAAAGAATCTGATTTGAAATGTGAATGATTTTCCAGAGTAGGGCTGTTTAAACAATTATTTTAGTAATCAAATATTGTATCATTTATTCTGTCGATTACCTGAGTAATCGAATAACTCATAGATTACTTGTGAGAGCAACACAAATAATCACCCAGCTGGAACACAGTGTGCTAAACAATAAAACATCATTTAACGAAGTTTCAAGGAGGGTAATTTGCTTCGAGGAGTTTTGACAATTGGGGAACTTGAATCATTGGAGGAATGGTTACAGTCTTACTCCAGAGGAGGATTTGTTTGCTGTGCCATGCTGTCACAACCGGACTCTGGCTGAAAAAATAAGTCATAGTTTTTTATCATTGTTTTTATTATACTCATAATATTTCCACAAAATATTAAATCTGTATCATCCAACAACCGGATGTTACTACTGGCAGAAAAGACAAAGAATACGACAGGAAGTGGTAGGAGGCAGCATCATTTTCAATTACTTATTCATTAACCACAGAATTGCTAAATTGCATTTTTGCTCATATTAGTAATGGACGCAGCTCCTGTGGGATCCTTGCTTCTCCACACAGTCTGAAACACAAGC